AGGACATTTCTTTTTAATTTGTAAATCGTTTTGTAAATTACAACTTCAACATATTCAGTAACGAAATTATCGTCTATATAAGCTCTATATAAAGGAGGATTTTAATAATATATTGTACAATTATGAAACATAATACATAGGTATTAATTTATATGCTCTAATTGTAACATATGAAAGAGGAATATAAAATATTTATATTTGCTGTTATAAAATCGTTGATGAATATTCTTATGATTATTGCATATTGTACAAAGATCATTAATGCTAAAATTAATGTTAACAAAACAAAATGCTGTCGACAAAATGTAAGATAAAGAAATTGCGTCGAGGATAGTGAGTCAATCATTAGATGATGAATTACAAAATGTTTTTATTTTATATTTTAAAAATACAAATTAGTAATCAGACTAGACAACTGCTGACTGAATTATGAAAATTTGTGGCACTTTATCCATAATTAATATTTGTTTGATGTGTTATGATTTGGCACGTACGTAGATAAATTTCGACGCATATAGCTCCCAAACACTTTAATTAGCTACTTAATATTCTTTGTACTGTTCTTATATAAATACTAGGAAGTATTACTTTTTAATCAATAAGTCAAGTGAATACTAAACAGCATTTATGTAAAGTATTCACTAAAAATGCATTTATACATACAATAATTATTTTTATACAAAGTATGTTGATGTTTCATCTACATATCAAGTAACACAAAGAAACGCATCAGAATTTTTTATATTCGTATTTTTTATCTATCTAGTAAAAATTAATTCTAAAATATTATTTTTTAACTTTTTCAATATAGCTTACAGTTTACTATAATTTTTCTATGTTATCTTACATGTTTCTCTATCTTTCCAAATACAGTAATATTTGATAGTATAAGGATACTGTAACTTAATAACAAAAATGCTGTTCAATTAATTTACGATTAATGTTTGTATTTTATTTTTTATACTGACTTAAATTGCAGTCAAAATCATATAGCACTTTAACATCTGTATGAACAGCTTATAATTATCATTAATTGTAGTATTATTTTATTAACATAATGATAACTACAAAATAAATAATTAACAATTTATATAAAGTCATGATTTATGAAACAGAAGTTGATTTACATAATTAACGACAGATAAATTATAAAAAGAATTATGGACAATTATACAAAGAAATATACACGTTACAAAGAAATAGTAATATTACTAATTTAAAATGGAATTAATATGAAAATTTATCGAGTGAAGCTGTTGTAATATAATAATCATTAATAATATCCATTCCTGTTTTATAAGTATGATGTGGATACACATATACAAGGCACTATTGTCAATAATACAGATAATCATTATTATTAATTCGAAAATATTAAAATGATATTATGGTTTCAATGCTGTGTTTACTATTATCATATTCGTAACAGATTCACCCAATTCTTAATCAAAGTATGATCCTTTGCAAGCCAGCTTTGCTTATAAAACAATATTATGTTTTATGCTAATTAATAGCCTCATTTAATTAGCCTACTGTATAAATTAAAAATATGAGAACATACATTTCAATTACAGCCAGTACTCAATCCTAATCATAGGTAATTTTGGAGAAAGTTACATCAACAAAATGAACAAAAAAAAATACAGCAAATGATTATAATGTACATATTATGGTAATCTGTTCTTAATATGTATAATGTTTTGCTGTACACATAATGAATGCTTTGCATCATTAAGTTCAATCTATTTTGTATCTGTACAAATATTTTATACCGAATATACAATATTATATAATATATAATGTAAATAGGACCTTTTACTTAATTTTTATGACCTTGTTTTTTTTATGCATATACTGCTTTATGATTGTACATACAATTAATTATTAACTTATAGTTTATTACATGGTTTTACTTAGGTCAGTTAAAGGTCATGCTTTTGTGCATAAAAAATAATTTCGTTAATGTACGTTATATATATATATAAAACATAAAAGTATTTTAACATTATAAAAATGGGCGGAAAGTAGAACACATGATACGGTTATAAAAAATAGTACATTTTTGTTAGTATTATTAGAAAATTTAAAGAGTATTGAAAGTTCTGGATGAGATTATATTTGGGACGAAATATTTTTCAGTATATTATATATTACTTTGTTTGATTTATCTTTTGTTTCATATCGAATTATACTAAATTAGCTGCTAAAGCAAGAACATTAAACTCTCTGCAGTTCTCAATTGTATTTTAAAATAAGCTTACTTAACATTAGGATATTATTGTATTTTTTTATCGTGCAAATTTGAATTTACATATTTCTCATACTCATTAAACGAGTAAATGGATTTTTATGCTTCAAGTAGCATGCACTATTCTTTTAAATACAAATTAGATTATACATGATATAAATGGCATTAGACGTTAGTCGTTATAAAATAAATATTTTTAATTAATGATTAAAATAATGATAAATTGCCAGAAGACAACATTTTTTTGTCAATTTAAATATGTTATTATTTTCAGTATAATAAAATAAATAAATAGTATAGTGGTAAATTTCTCATCAGAAAATTGTTCAAAATATTCAATGATTTGTAAATTGCTTTGCAGCTTTACTTTATGCAATCACATTCTCACTGGGATTGATTACACATTCGATATTTCTCAATATTTTTAATGGTTTATGGTTTTTCTTCAAGGCAATTTTTTTATATTGGCACCCCATGTATTTCTAAATTTTCTGCTAATATACCGATAACATTTATAGACTTTAATTCGTTATGTTAATTTTATTTTATAAAGATATCTCTGCTATCAGTTTACTATATGAGCAATAATCAAAAAAATTTTAATCTATAAAATTAAACAAGATATTAATCGTGTGTAACGAAAGAAGTTTATTTTCGCAGTTTTCGTAGTATATTAGCAGTATTGATTGAAATTTAACTTTCCATACCTTCGCTTTTATTTAACACTAAACCTACCAGCGGCGATTAAATTGACCGCTCTCGAACTTCTACACAAATTTAACCATATTTAAACTTTATCATATCGCTTCATAATTTCCGAACTTTTCTAAAACATGCATACAATATATTTTTCGGTATTTACTTCTAGTTTGCTCTTTTATTTTCTGAGAAAAATTTGTACTCTGCCTCGCCTACCGTGAGCGGTCATTTTGACCGACAAAGTATTTTAGTTATTCTTAAAATAAATGCAATCAGTATAAAGAAAAGGTTATCTCAACGTCAAATGACAAACAAAATCAATAATAACAAATAATAACAGCTGCTATACCCATAATCTTGTCATAAAACATAATCCACCCCTCGATCAAGATAGCCACCAGCTGTCAAGACATATCAACTTAGGCCCATAATAATCCTAAGAAACCGCCACAAAATTTAGCATTTTTTACAGTCCATTGTTACAAACATTTTAAAAGTCGAGAAGTTTCTTAGGATTGTTGCTCATTGCGATAAAACACGGGAAAAACTTTCCCAACTCCACCCTCGAGTAACTGTTGATGGAGAACGGTCAATACTCATCAATATTTTCGTATAAATATCACCGTCACAAACCATATTCTTACTTGCTATTGTCCTTTCGACTAGAATACATCTCAGTTTGTTAGCCAATTAGTCGACATCTAAACTTGTTGTCTCTAAAACTCAGACAGAAAGCATTTCAGAGCGTTTTGTGTAAAGTTGTTATAAAAGGAAAAGTAAAGCATATCAAATTTGACAATAATTTTGTATTCTGTACATGGTATTATTCTGTGATAAATATTTACCCTAGAAATGTACATGGTATTATTCTGTGATGAATATTTACCCTAGAGATGTCAAGACTTCAAAAAAAAAAAAATTATAAAAAGAATAACGGACATAGAAAAAGTCTGTTCAGTGTGCGATGAACAAGAAACTGCAGCAACTGAAAACGGCATGGAAACATATGAAAAGCTATTTACAACCGAATCAGAGTTGAATATAATAAATAAACGTTTACGTAATGGCAAAAAGGAAAGAAATTATCGTTGACAGCAGAGAGTGAAACTGGGCCCGATGGAACAGTTTGGAAAGAAATAGATGCAAGTCCCAAACCTGGCAGGACATCAGTTCATGATATTTTTAGGGATATGCTAAACGACATATAATGAAAGGACAAGTAAAAACGGCATTTTATCTTATCATTGATCACTGTATAAGGAATCATATAATAAAATGTATGGAAGAAGAAGCATTTAGAGTATTGGGGACTAAGAGGGAGCTAGATGCAACAAAACTAGGTGCACATCAGGCAAAAAATTTAGATGTCTCATATTTGTGGAATAAAATTTGGAGATCTGCATTTTTTTCAAAATAATGAGCAGAAATGACTTTGCTGAAATTATGAGGTTTATATGATTTGATAAGAAGAGCGAAAAAAGCCAATGTTTATGAACCAATAAATTTGCAATGGTATCTACAGTATGGGGCCAATTTACCGAGAATTCACAAAATTGTTATAAACCTAGTGCATACATTACTTTTATATAAAGAATCGCGGGAAAAAACCATGCAATAAAACTATCAACAAGTTCAGATTCATTACTACAAAAAACTTGTCAAATAAAAAATTGTAAAGGTTACAAAATTATGAAAATTTGTTTAAGATGCGGGAAATATGTATACGGCAAATGTACATTTGATAATAAGATAATTTGTAAAAGATGCAGCGAAGTTGAATAAGATATATCTCTATATAAATAATTGAAATTAAACAAAAGTAAATTTGGATGAAATTTTATGAAAGTTCGTCATTTTATATACATTTAGTTATAAATTAACCATTATCTAAGTTAAATCATGAAAATTATTACTTCTTTAATCATCGGTCATTTTAACCGCACACGGTAGGAATAGGTATACACTAAGTGTCGGTAGGTTTAGTGTTAACATATAGAAATAAAGATTGGTAGTAGTAATAATGATGACAGAGGTAAGCCATAACGGACAATTGTTCCAAATAATGCTTCGAGATTTATACTTTAGCTTAAACATAATTTAGTGAACTTAATTTTATCGAAATTTCATTATTTACAAAATATTGGTACATAAATTAAAAAGGGGGGGGGGTAAGCTCTAAGGCGTGAAAAGTTATATCTTTCGAGTAATTAAATTTCTAGATAAAAATATATTCGTAACGGATAGAAAATACTTATTTGAAACAGTGTATATCTCTCCTATTAATGAATAATATATGTGTATATTATTGTCAGAGTATAAAATTATCTTCTAGTGATGTGATATTTCGATAAAATGTAAGAAGAATGATAATTACAATGCATTTCAAATTTGTGTTGTTTTCACCTACTGAATTCAGGAAGCGGCTTAGCTATTCCTTCACTGTAAGCTTTATGGACTGCCTCACATACGAATCTATATTGACTCTAGAAAAATCATTTTTTTTCATTACATATAAAAGATAATCTTTTTATATATAAATTTCAATTTAATAACTTAACTTGTAAATTTTAACTTACAGCATTTTGTATCATCATTGCTCTTTGATCTCTCATAGATCGTACGATGTCTAATGGATACACCGGTTGATTCGCTTCGATAAGACACAGTGCTGTTTCCATTAAGACTAAGACACCTGTTCTACCAATTCCTGCAGAACAATGAACAACTGCGGGTTCCACTATTCCCGTTCGAGCTGCCCGTACCCTTTCAGTAAACGTTGTGAATTGTCTCCAATCGCTAGGAACTCCATGATCTGGCCAACTACAATATTGCATGTGTGTTATATCTCTTTCTTCTCCAGTCTAAAATGCACAGAAATGACTTAGAATTTTTCTAATATATTTATAATAATATAAATTATAAATATTACTTTATTTTCTTACATTAATATCACGGAGTATGAATTCTCTAAATATAAAAGTATCTTCAACATTTTCAGCTGTAGACGTGAGAGTGAGATTTCGTAACGTTAGAGTTTCATTGAGCGCAGGCCAGTATTGATGGCATTTTGCTCGGCCACGTTCTACCAAAGTTGTGAGCATTACAACAAGGGTACTACCCGCTTCGAGAACCATCTGCCAAAAATCAGCGACAGTCGAAGACAAAGGTCCTTGAGTAGCTATATATCTGTTGATAATGCCAGATCCTGGTATTTCCATATTTACATAGTTAGCATTGATATAATCTCCACTTGCAGAGCCCATAAGTATCACTCGAGTAACATCATCTGCACAAATTATAATTTATTTTGTGAAGCACATGTTTCGAATCGTATTAATATAGTACTAAGATACTGATATAAATTCTTGTATTTTTCTTTATGCTTACAAGGTGAAATATCTCGATAACGATTTTTACTCTGATTTTCAGGTTTTTTTGATTCAAGAGATGTAAGTTCAGGATTCTTTCTATATAGCTGTTCATACTGCGCGATTAAAGCACCGCTCGCAAGACCATCAGCAAGAAGCAACATCGACTGTGCTAATGCGTCTGATCCAATAGCTGCATGAGGTGCATCCGGAACGTATCTGATTATTTCAACATAAAAATAAACATTAATCATTGCTTTAGTATAACAAATTCAGTTTTATTATCTGTAATACCTATATGGAGGTTCTTCTTCAGATGTTTCATCAGTACCAGCTAGTGCATTATATAAAGCATTCGGTCGAAGAGTTAAGGTCAGTTCACCAGAGCCCGAATCACGAGATTGACGAATTAGATTTACTACATGTTCATGTAACAATCCACTGACATCAATTCCATTTATATACACTACCTATTTATCCAATATATTCGTAATAAATAGTTTGCAAAAGTTAATCTAGATAACTTGAAAATAAGTTCAATTTAATTTCATTAAGATATAACAACTAACCTGATCCCCTTCGTTTAATTTCGGATAACAGCGATCAGCAGGAGTATTTGGAGCTACTCTTGATACTAAAATAGGCATATCAAGATCTAAACCACCTTTCACATTAAATCCAAACCGACCTTGTTCATCTGGAGTCAGAGATATTGTAACTAATCCATCTTCTACTATCTACAAATACTCAATTTTATTTTGTGCACATAGAAACTGTTTATTAAAATATTAATAAATACCTGAGGAGCAGGCGAACTTGTAGGTTCACTATAATCAGGAAGATCATAAATGTTCCTTTCAGCAGTTGTATCATCATCAGCATAACTTAAAACTCTAGAACCTAATACAGGCGAAAATGCATTGCCTTGTGTATGCGAGCTCGTTATTTCTTCACGGAGGGACAAAAAGCCACCTTCACTATGGTACATAAAAGGAACAAAAATTAATATAAATATAAAAAAGTTACAAATATTAAATATAAGTTTCAACGAACTCATCGCTAGGATTTCCTTCACCCCACGCTCGACGAGGTTCACGAGCACCAAGAGACTGAACTTTATTATCATATGGTCTAGGCGGTCTTCCAGGGGGCATAGATAATTTTCCTTTCTCTTCGATAATTGGAGCTGATGTTACTCCATGTACTAATCTTTTACTTGGAGATCTAAATAATTTAAATCATTAAGTTAATATTGAACTAATATTATGTTATTAATATTGAATAAATTAATGTTACCGTATAAACGTTCTTTCTACTCTTGCTCTATGCTTCCCATCCTCAACTGTTTGAAATTCTGTACGTCCTGAATATGTAAACCTACTGCTTAAAGTAAGTGGAAACCGCCTTGGCCTCGTTTTAGGACTGTGAAGTCGGAAAAATGTATGGTGCTCTACACACGCTTTCCATAAATTTTTCGAACTCCGATATGTTTGCATGTTGAAGCCAAGGAGAGTATCATAGTTCTCTGACTATAATAAAATTAGTTTGTATAATATAACAATATGTAAATTGACTTCTAAATTGTGAACTGAATGTTTAACGAACCTGTTCCCTTCTCAGTTGAATGAAAAATTGTTTCCGCTTAAATGATATTTTAACTATTTTTGACCATGAGAACACGTTAATTTTTATTCCATTTTGAAACACTACTAAACCTATAGATGTTACACCTAATTGTATTTCTTTATTTGTTGAATCCTAAAAAAAATATTTAAATTAAAAGAATGCGTGTTTTGAAAATCTGCAACGGAGGTTATAGGATAAGTACATACCCTAGCTTTATGTAATTCTACTCCATACATATCTAACCTTTTTGCATGGTCTAGAAAATTGAATTCTGCATCTGCTGGTAATTGACCCCTGTAAAATAGTATAAATATTCTATAAAGTTTTATAAACTTTGGGTTATTAATATTATATATATAACTTCAACATACTTATGAAGTTTATGCAGCTCAGCTATTTTCTTTTCCATTTCTTCAGTTTGACCTGGTATTAATTGCAATCTAGAAAGATATCCTGGTCCATGTTCTTCAGGATGATAGTCACCCAACTCAGCTATAATTACATAAAGATATAATGATGTATTATGAATAAATTTTACAATGAAACAGATGTTACAATGTATCTAATACATACATTGAACAGTATAACTAGCAATAAGGCATGCTGTACTTGGCGATAATTGAAGTTTTCCATGAAGAATATCTCTCCTAACTTGTAAATAAAACTGATATCTAGTATATTCTTCTTGTAGTTTACTAGGATCAGATACATAAAATTTCACTTTGAAATAGAATTGTCCACCTGAAACAATACATTATATTAAATTATCTTTCATCTTTTTGTATTTAGTAGTGTGAACAAGCATCTGAATACGATCTTTACCCTTACTTCTTATCTGCTTCTTCACTGGTTTACTAGGATCTAACCATCTCTAAAACACAAATTCAATTATAACGCTATTCAATTAATATAAATTTTGTAAATAGATTTTAATAAATTGAATAGACAAGTTTACCATTTCATCTGGTGAATATGTACACGTTGTGGCTCCATTTTCAGCATATTGCAAACCAAAATAATCTTTTTCAACAAGTTCTAAATGTTGGAATACTAAATCTAATAATGTTTGACCTTTTGCTCTTTTCTAAAACATTTTGAAATATTCATATCATAAATGCAACACAAGAAATACTATTTAGAATCACTATATAAACTCACATCTAGTTGAAATGTGTGTTGCGTGTCATCAAGGAAGACAACAGCAGCAGAAAGAGATTTCAATCTACGATTTCTTGCTAATTCAGCACCACGAACGTGGTAGCTCCCACTGGAGCCACTCAACGCTCTACGTGATACACTTTCAATCATTTCAAAGATACGAAGGCGTGTCAACCACCTTCCCGACACCACCTCTCTGCTATGCTGACCACCTAAATGAAGAGTTAGAAAATTATTCAAAATATATTAATTGCAAATATAAATAGCTAAAGAAAATTGTTATATATAGGTAAATCAAACAAACATAAATCTAATTCTAACTGTCTAATAATTCAATGAGTCAATTGTCAATTATAAAAAGCAATAAGTATGTTTTTGTTTATGCAAAAGTTTATTCATGTTTTTAAGCGTTAGTACATATCATTAAAAGAGCTTAAAAAACATTGTTTTGAGTACTGCAACTGTAAGGTTAAGGCAACAATTATGTTGTCAATTGTAATAAATAAGCATATTGAATGAACCAGTTCTATGCATTGTCACAGACTGATCAATCATATATCACTATTGAAAATAATTACATTCAGAAGATGTCATTGAAAATAAATTCATAGAGTCAGTAATCTAACGTCAGTTACATAAGCAAGTTCATATGTACTAGGTGCCAAAATAATGTAGAACAAGGCATTCTGAAAATAGTTTACATAAAAGAAGCAAAGTAAAACTCTTTAAATACAAATACATCTAAGTGCCTTCTAGCATTAACCTCTCATTAAGTAGTCACTAAAGCATTATTTCTTTTTCTTTAAATCAAGTAAAACATATAAAAATGCATTCAATTCATCACTATTAACTAAAACTGGAAAAAATATTCAAATATATTTCTAAACAATCTGCATTGTGACAATAAAGCATAGATTTATATTCGCAAAAGTTAGTTCATAAAAATACTATTTTCTATATATTATAAATAAAATATTAAGAGATTAATTTATAATACATTATATTAATATATTATATTAAAATACAAAATAAATATTATATTATATATTATAAATAAAATATAAAAATTCAAAGTATTTAAAGTAAAAATTGTTCTCTAAAAAGATACAGAAATTTACTCAGCAAGTTTGATACATTAATTAATACATATGTATCATGAATATAGTGAATGAAATAGATATTTATATGCATCGAAGTGACAGTCTCACAATTACACTAAACGAACAATGTAAAATCTCCACTTACATTCATGATCCGTTGCACTACCTTTGATAAGGCTTTCACAGGTGTTTTTTTTTAACAAAACGGAAAATGGTCCACGATCGTTAATATTTTTGCAGATTAGATTCGACGAACCATTAAGAAAAATATAATTCGCCCCAGTCGAGACGAAATTTTTTAAAAAACTTTTTCTTTCTTGCAACTCTTTTCATTATTTTTTATAGCGACATATTAACGCGCAAATGTAATTCTAATCTACAAACCAGTTGACATTATTCACGGGATCGTTTTGCCATAGTATATGGTAAAAAACATGTTAAATAGTATAAAAACTGTGTGTCTTTCACTCACTCAACAACATATAAGATAACACCAATAAATCGGCATGAGCGAGCAATAATGTCAATGAATTATGCTCATAATTCTTTTAGAAATTACCAGAATATAATGTATATATGATCATAAATAATTATATCATTGTTTCAAGATAATTATTTTTTATAATGATATACCATAAAGATTGAAAGTTTTATTTACAGTAAAATTGTTTGACGCCCTGATACAAAACTTAACAGTGTATGTATATGTATTTAATGCACACATGTGTGCATGCTTAACATTAACCATAGAGTGAATAGTCTTACGATTCGTTATTCAATGTTGTTTTTCCAAGTATGATCGGTATATATAAGGTATCCCAATATTGATAGTATAGATGAGGTGGAAGTGATTGTACCTAAAGAAAAAATAGGTCAAAAATATATTTGAAATGAAAATATAGAATAAATTCTGTACATTTAAGAATTTGTTTTCGAGAAAATTGAATTAAAAAATTTGTTTGGTATATATAAATTTGCTTAATTACCAACGTGATATCATTAGTACTGGGGCACCTTGTATATTTATTATATACATAATATGGATCATAAATAGCGTATGATAAAATTAACGAAAAGATGTTTTAATACTTTTACAGGACATAGGAATAATCAATATTAAAGTATTTTTATATTGTTTTATTAGTCTATACTTTTTTCCTCTTTCTTAGTCCGTATTTAATACATACTTTAATCTTAATCATAACCCATTTTTTTTATTCATTTTCGATTCAACGATATCTGTCTGTTATTAAAAATTTTTTATGCTGACATTTTTTTAAGACAAAGATCAATTTTAAACAAAAAATTTTTCTAAACCCTTAACAAGGGTAATAATTGGTTAATATTCCAAAATGTAAAAAATATGAAATTATTTGACAAACCATGGTTTAAGATTTACACAGTAAGATTTCACACAAAGTTGCGCCAGATATATTAGCACAGATTCGCAACCGTATTCATGACATATCAAGACAAGTACGCAACGGTATAAATATTGCAACTAACTCTCTTTCAGAGTGACTAATTCTCTTTCAATACTTTGCATATGAAAAAAAATTAATCGTCAATACACATTGTGATGTGAACATTAGTTGAACAAGCGGCCGCTTGGGGTGTCGTTAATTTCTCAAACTACGCTGCATGAAACTATTCCCGCCGCGTGGGTTATAGTTTGCGGATTACGGTTGCGGTTTGGTTATAAATCCCGCCATCTCCGCAACACGAGCGACGATTTTTGGTGTATTATAATTATGCCGAGTTGATTTCACAGAACCACGAGGTGAAAAACAAGAAGTTATGGCAAACGTATCCGTTGATAAAGAGACGTTTTTTCGGCGTATGAAGCGGCTTTATACCGCATGGAAGGTAAGATATTTGAAATGTTTCGTTCCGCTGTTAAAAATAAATGTAATCGTTTGACAAACAACGTATGATCATTTTTATTAAATAGGATGGGGAAGTTGGTACAGACGATAGTTTTAGTAAAATGGATTGTCTCGTTTCCGCCGTGGGCACGGACGAGGATATCGTGTACAGCAAATCGACAGCGTTGCAGGTAAGTTATACTTTTTGTATTGCTCTAATGCGTTTTTGCATCTTATATTTTGCGTGTGCACTTGTAAACAATAGCATAACCTTATCTCTGTAATTCTGAAAAATATGGTTTTCATAGAATGTTACACGTTTTTCATGTATATTATACATATTCTTAGTTTGTCACGATGAAAAAAGAACAATTTGTAGAGTTAATATTATCAGGATAAATTTCAATTATGTAACTAAAGTGTTGTAGTTTCTTTTATCATTTTGTTAAATGTAAAAGATAAAATTATTATAAACATATTGTTTCAGACATGGTTCCTCAGTTATGAACTTACAGATACTATAATGATCTTAGCAGAAGAATGTATCTGTTTCTTGGCTAGTAAGAAAAAAATTGAATTTGTCAGAAAACTTGAAAATCAGAAAACGGAAGACACTGGTGTACCTTCTGTAAAATTACTTGTGAGGGATAGAGTATGTATTTTCTATAATTTATATTTTGATTTAATAATCATTGAATTTTATTTCTAATGTTGGTATTAAACTCTTTTATTTTTTAAAGAATGATGAAGATAAAGCCAATTTTGCTAAACTTATTGAGATCATAAAACAAAGTAAAAAGGGTAAAACATTGGGTGTTTTTTCTAAAGAAAATTATCCAGGTGCCTTTATGGACGCGTGGAGAGCTGCATTAAAGCCAGAATCTTTTGATACGGTGTGCGATTTTTTCTTATCATACAATATATAATACCAAACATTTTGGTTATTTCATGATATACATTAATGTGTTAGATTGATGTAAGTGCTGCAGCTGCATATGTAATGTGTCCAAAAGAAGATGCTGAAATTCATACCATAAAAAAGGCGTGTTTAGTATCTGTGGATGTCTTCACAAAATATCTTAAGGATCAAATTATGGAAATTATAGATTCTGATAAGGTATTTGGTTTTTATTCATTTAAAAATATTTAATATCTAAGCACTCTAGTTCTAATATCTATACATCTTTATTTTAGAAAGTTAAGCATTCAAAGCTTGCAGAAGGTGTAGATGCTGCTATAACAAATAAGAAGTATGTAACTAGTGTTGATGTTACTCAAGTAGATATGTGTTATCCTGCGATAATACAAAGTGGTGGAAATTACTCTTTGAAGTTTAGTGTTGTTAGTGATAAAAACACTTTGCATTTCGGTGTCATTGTTTGCTCTCTTGGAGCGCGTTACAAATCTTATTGTTCCAATATAGTTCGAACATTGTTGGTAAATCCTACTAAAACCATTGAGGTAAGTTTTAAACAAAATATTAAGTAATAACATGCTTTAATAACAAATTAAATATGTTTAATAATTATGTACGTTTATTGTAGGATAATTATAACTTCCTTTTACAATTAGAAGAGGAGATTCTAAAGAAATTAGTAGCTGGAGTGAAAATAAGCGAAGTATATGAAACAGGGGTAAAGTATGTAAAGGATGAAAAACCGGAGATGATTGATCATTTAACCAAACACTTTGGATTTGCAATGGGTATTGAATTTAGAGAAAGTTCTTTACTTATTGGTCCAAAAACTCATGCAGTACTAAAGAAAGGCATGGTATTCAATGTAAATGTTGGATTGGCGAATCTTACAAACTCAGAAGCTACTGATAAAGAAGGAAAAACCTATGCACTTTTCATTGGTGACACAGTTATGATTAATGAGGTACTAATCTTTGCTTTAAAAACATGTAATTTTTTTAATATATCGAAAAATAGAAATTAGAATAAAATTATTTATTTCAGGCACAACCTGCTACGAATTTAACACCTTCAAAAAAAAAGGTAAAAAATATTGGAATATTTGTTAAGGATGAAGAGGAAGAAGAAGAAGAAGGAAGTGGAAAGGAAAATGAACCTAAACCTGAGATCCTTGGTCGTGGAAAGAGAACAGCTGTAATAGAATCTAAATTGAGAACAGAACATAGTTCTGAGGAAAAGAGAAAACAACATCAAAAAGAACTGGCACAACAGCTAAATGAAGTTGCAAAAGCTCGGTTAGCTCAACAATCTGGTGGGAAGGAACAAGAAAAGATACGGAAGTCAACAATATCGTACAAAAGTCTGAGTCATATGCCACGAGAACCAGAAGTAAAGGAATTGAAGTTATACGTTGGTAAGTGTATTTGTATTTTGTTTATAAAATAAATTTGATATGTTATTTATTATACGTTATATATCTATATTTCAGACAAAAAATATGAAACTGTAATTTTGCCCATTTTTGGGATTCCTGTACCCTTCCATATATCCACAATTAAAAATATTTCTCAGTCGGTAGAAGGAGATTACACGTACCTCCGAATAAATTTTTTTCATCCTGGTGCCACAATGGGTCGGAACGAAGGTGGATCATATCCACAACCCGATGCTACATTCGTCAAAGAAGTGTTAGTGTACAATTTTATTTCATTTCTTATTCCTTATGATAATTACAAGTTGTATCAATGTTAAGATGAATTGTGTAAATATATGTTAATAAAATTTTTATTTTTATCATCTAGAACATATCGAAGTACAAACACCAAAGAGCCTGGTGAAATTTCGGCACCATCTTCTAATTTAAACACAGCCTTCAGATTAATTAAAGAAGTTCAAAAGAAATTCAAAAATAGAGAAGCAGAAGAAAGGGAGAAGGAGGATCTTGTAAAACAGGACACTCTAATACTCTCTCAAAATAAGGGTAATCCAAAACTAAAAGACTTGTACATTCGACCAAATATCGTTTCGAAGAGAATGACAGGAGGTTTAGAAGCACATGTGAATGGATTCCGTTACACTTCGGTTAGAGGAGATAAAGTTGATATTCTTTACAATAATATTAAAAATGCCTTTTTCCAACCGTGTGATGGCGAAATGATCATATTGCTTCATTTTCATTTAAAAGTATATATCTTTATTTTAGTTTTAATTACTTTTACTAGCGATCATTTACTAAATACAGACTATTTTCAGCACGCAATAATGTTTGGTAAAAAGAAGCACGTGGACGTGCAATTTTATACAGAAGTTGGTGAAATCACGACAGATTTAGGGAAACATCAACACATGCACGATCGTGACGATCTTGCTGCTGAACAATCAGAACGAGAACTTAGGCATAAATTGAAAACTGCCTTTAAGAGTTTTTGTGAAAAAGTAATGTTTAATGATTGAAACATTTTATTTTACAAGACTAATAAATAAATTCTAAGAAATAATAAATATTATTCAGGTCGAAAGCATGACGAAACAAGAAATTGAATTTGATACACCGTTCCGAGATCTGGGATTCCCTGGAGCACCATTCAGGAGTACTGTTCTTCTGCAACCCACTAGTGGTTGTTTAGTAAATCTCACAGAATGGGTAAATTTTACTGTATATATAATTACTTTCATATGAACTATAAGTACCAATTCGTTAATCATATTTCTTTCGTATTTTAGCCTCCATTTGTTATAACTTTAGAAGATGTTGAACTTGTTCACTTTGAAAGAGTGCAATTTCACCTTAAGAATTTTGATATGATTTTTGTTTTCAAAGACTATCATAGAAAAGTCGCTATGTTAAATGCCATTCCCATGAACATGTTAGATCATGTAAAGGAGTGGCTAAAGTAAGTTCTTTGCGTTTCTCTATTTTCTATGGATTTAATTTCTTGAGAATAAAATATAAACATGCTACTTTTCTTTTTAGCTCGTGTGACATCAGATATACAGAAGGTGTACAATCTTTGAATTGGACAAAGATTATGAAAACTATCACAGATGATCCTGTAGGATTCTTTGACAGTGGTGGTTGGAGTTTCTTGGACCCAGAGAGTGATGCAGAAAATGATGAAGTAGAAGACGAGGAGGAAGAAGAAGACGATGCTTATGAGGTATGGAATTTAGTGAAATAATTATAAACAATAAGATAAATTTGCATATTATAAGATTTAATATTAACAATTATATAGACATTAACAATTTTTATTCTTTATTTGTAGCCATCTGACTTTGACACTGAAGAGGAATCTGATGATGATTCTGAATACTCTGAAGCTTCAGAAGATTCAGATAGCGAAGGTAATATTTGCAAACTTTATTTTATTTAAATACTAAAAAAATGTATCTTGTTTATTATTTAGCATTTTTTTTCTTTAAATTTACATTTTAGAAGAGGAGTTGGGTAGCTCTGAAGAATCTGGTAAAGACTGGTCTGACTTAGAACGGGAAGCAGCTGAAGAAGACAAAGAAAGAGGAGAAGATAGATTCCATGATGATTATAATTCAAGTAAAAAGAAAAAAGGAAGTCGAAAACATTCACCATCACCATCAAAAGACAGGTATATTACTTGATTTTACATATTTCTAAGGTATATTACTTAATCTTACATATTTCTAAATTTGTCACTAACTCAAATATATAACTCATAGACATAATTCGAAGCACAAGAGTTCTTCAAGTTCAAAAAGTAAAAGTTCGTCCAGTAGTAAAGATAAAAAATCATCGTCGTCGGATAAACATAGGTAAGAAATTACACGTTTCTCTAGGACGTAGGATTTCAACTATTTTAGACATAGAAAGACGTGATTTTGTGATAAAATTGTGTTAAGTATATATTTCAATAATTAAAGATCGGATCGATCGCGGAGTGGGGGATCACACAAGAAAGTGTCTCCTTCCAAATCATCCAAACACAGGTGATTAGCACAAGTATGTGTGTGCTTGGCGATGTTACATTTCATGTTCTGTTTTTGTTTAGTCCCAAGAAGAGCGATAAACATGATAAACACAAGTCGTCAAATCACTCTTCGTCTAGCAGTAAGAAACGAACTCGTGAAGATAGTGCAGAAAGAAATGATAGGGGATCGAAGAAATCTAAGTATGTATAAATATTCTATAATATTAATTTGTAACGATTTGTAATATTTTTTTTATAAATTACTTATATATATTATAGGAAATAAGGAAGATATCATTGAAGGATATCAAGACACATTGGAGGAAGCACATATGAAAACACAAACACCGAATGTTGGTTCTATATTAAACTTTCTTATGGTACGTCGATTAAGTTAGAAGGATAGTACATTTTCTTGCATTGATTCATTTAAACTCTTAGCAAACGATTTGTTATTGATATTATTTAAAAGTTCGATAGTGTGCTGCTAAGGCTTGGATACTTATCAGTATCTGCTTGGTGATAGCGATGTAATGTGTATGAACTTGTACGGGTAATTTAACATAAATTTACGAATGAACACATTTTTTATCACTTGTACATAAAACTCTTTTTTAAGTAAAAAAAAATGTCGATCTTAATTATATAATATAACTACTAACACGTATCATTTCATTCCATTGTTCGTTTGCTGGTAGTATTCAAATGTATTTGTAATAACTTATTAAGTTTGTGAATTAAAAATGTATTGAAGTATTGGAACGGTATCCATTGTACAGATAGTATATATAAAAAGAAAACAACGTCTTGTCTGTTATTGTTTTTTTATTAAATGAATACGAAAATTAATTCTTAATTATAATAAACAATAGGAAAACTTACAGGTATATAATTGTAACACACTCTCAATGCAAGACAATGCACTAGTGTTAACTGTCGTACGTAAGACACCCAGAAAATAGATATTAATTTACTAAGCAAAGAAAGCTGAAATGGATCAAAATCGTTGATAATTTTGTTCGCACGGCTCTGAAATTTGTACCTTGGTAAACAAAATAAATACTTTTTAAGTTATTTATCATTAATGTACGAGATATTGTCACTTATTGACAGAGTGTCCACAGAAATAGAATCGTTGCTACTGTAATATATCACGCTCATGGTACATTTTTAAAGACGGCACAATTACTTAACATTTCTTGCTTTTGTTTGAGTTAAAATTTTTGTTTCATTTTACAGTAGCATAAAAATCAAATGAAAATTCATTCGTCCTTCAGATCTTACATAATTACTTTCTTAACTTCGCGAGAAAGAACGGGATATTGAATTCATAGATTTGTACAAAGGTGAAAGTAGAATGAAAGTAAACAGCTCCACTAAATTTTATTGTATCCTTGACTTCTTTTTTCCTTTCAATATTGTGTTTGATAATAGACATGGAGGAACGTTTACTGACTTATTATGTTTTGAATTCCTTGGCAATGCCATATAATAGATGCCAAAGAAGAACCGTTTCAATAGTAACATAAATGTAGGTGAAGTGAAAGTGTACCTCTGGTTAGTGGTTCTGCAGCTTTCTCCATAACATCACTACGTATATATATATAATTCTGGCAGGTGACTTAGTTCGACATTTCACAAGTTGCGAATGACTCCTTTTTTTTTTACAATGAATGATGTTACTTGGAATGTGTGTTGTAATACTCTTTCTACGAATGATGTTGGCGGACGGCCAGTTTAAAGTATTTTAAGTATGTACCAAATTTTATAAAGTCAAGTAAAATAAATCATCATCCTTTTTCAAATGATTACTTTTTTAATTAAACATTTAGATATATGTACCCTTATTGTTGAGATGAATTTATATTACAGTTTCTAAATGAAAAAAGATCGTACAAGCGAATTGCCTCATTTTCAGACATTTATTTACGAAAAAATGAAAAAGCCTAAGTACATCATTATAAAAAAAGACTTATTACATTCTATAAATAATTGTTATAAAACTTAGATTCAAAACATTTTTTACAAGAGAACGATGACGATGATGATGGAGAAGAAAAGCAAGCGAGTCTAATTCCGTCCTATCTGATCGATTTGAGCTTGGAGATTGTTCACCACTTCCGATGGAACGTGCGCTCCCAGAATTTCGAAAAGATTAATCTTCTGATCGCCAGGAATCGATTCGTACGCTGCCAATTCGATGCCTTCTTGAACCTTTTGTATTGTCGCATCTTTCGGAATAAGATAGGTATTCTGTGCCTGTTTTATAGCCTCATTACTGAAAATTTGACCATCCTTTTGTGGAAATGCCATAGTTACTCCCACAATCAATATTGTTGCTAATAACGTAAAATGGATTTTCATCTAAAATAAAAAAAGACAAAATTTTAGTATTTATTCTATATTTTATATTCTATATTTTTGATTTTATGTATTTTTAAATAACAATTTTTCATTCTATTATAAATTATATAATAGTATTATTATTGGAGATTTATTAGATTAAAGAAATTATTGGATTAAATATTATAATTCTGTTTTACTAAAAAAGATGCATTAAAATGAAGAATGCCCTGCTTTTCCCTTTAATGAAGAAGATTGGGATTTGAAAAGATATTTATCTTGTATTTTGTCATGCTGTGAGAAGAATGGTTGAGCCGATTTTTGCAATCGCTCTTCTGATGCAACGAAGAACGCGCGTAAGAGAATGAGCATCAAAAGCAAGACGGTTAATTATTAACGACAAATATTCGTAATATAAAAATTCGTAGCACCAATTTGTTCAATTACTAAAAACATTATATTACATACGCTGTAAACCTAAATCGTAAAAATGAACAAATAATAATATAAAAACGTAATTAATAATATGATATATATATATATTCATGAAACTATGTTATAATAAACTATATTACAAAATTTTAAATCATTATACTGTTACAAAATAAATGAAAGAACGAGAGATTTATAGTATTTTAGCGTATGAATTGGTGCATATGGAATTGCAATATATTCTGGTGAAATTGATATTTATATTTACGAAAGTAATGATACTAATCTTGAAAAAAAAATGTTGATGAATGAAAACATTATGGAAAGATTAGGTGAAAATCATCACTTTTTTAGGATGATCCTGCAATATTATTTTAATAATTATGATATAGGCAAGGATAATTTATACATGTACTTCCTTTTATGAAACTTAATAAAGAATAGAATAAATATAACTTGTACAAAACGTCTTCGTTAACAATGATCTTTTATTACATTTCACGTTCCATAATTATAAAACAAAATACTCTAACAGTTTCCTAATTGCAAATTATGTAAATCTATTCTACACTTTTATGTACATTAATCCATAAATCAAACAACTTTATGTTTTATCAGATTTATCAGATGCTCATTAGTTTCCCTAGAGATGGGTTCACACTTTCACTCTCGTCAGCGATAAATCAGCGCGAGATAGAACTTTCTGCCAGGTGGATCAACTTTCTCACTTGTTTCATCCTAAATGAGAGAAAAAGCCTAATAACTAAATTTTCGAACGAAAAACTTCGACTTACATTGACTGAACGTTAAACCACAGAAACAAACACACCGATATTACTACGAGAGTCCAGTAGGAACGTTTGAAACTGATCAACGATAGTTAAGTAAAAAGTATAACTCTCTGATGTCCGTGCAAGTCGTAAGCGCCGCAGGGTTAGCGGTAAAAGGAAGTTGAGACTTGGCAGCAATCGTAACAACGATCTCGTGAATGGTACTCACGTTGAGAGTGCGCCGTTTCACAATCGGTCACCGTCGAGCGAAACTAAGCGCGCGATCGGCGGAAGCGGCTTTTATACACTCGAGATGCTTACGAGCGGCGCGGCGGTACCACACCACTCTTGTATCCAGGAGAAGATCCATCTTCCAATTAGTTAATACTTACAGGAAGAAACGGATGCGATCATCGTTCTCTCTCCTGATGTGACTTTCCAGGTGGAAGATTCAAGCGGGTCCCTATTAACATCGGTGTTATTGTGATGTCACAGCTCACTTGTTACTTCATACAATGTTTGCTTATTGATTAACAAGTAAGGAAAGTATTATGAGTATTATTAATTTGCAGTAAATATAGGACAAATGTTGCATGTATGAATAGGTAATTTAGAATCTCGGTAAATGGTTTTGGTAAATAGTTAAATAGATGTGCATAATACAGGGAATGAATATGAGTGCTGCTAAGGAATTAATTAAGGAATTATGAGTACTATTAATTTATTGTAAACGTAAAATACGTGTAATGTTGCATTAATTGATTTAGATTGTTAGTAAGTATTATAGTTAGATATATACAAGTATGTAGTAGCACATACATTTGAATTCAACGAAGCAACTCTTTTAAAGCTTTTCTCTTTACGCTTTTACAAATACCATTGCACGACCCGCCATGAATATTAGTGGCCTGTTAACCAATATGTAGCGAGCCGTTGAGTCTACCGCTGCACCTGATCCACGTTTCACTTTTACCATTGTTTTTCTCGAACTATCGAAGAAGCAATACTGCCCTTGTTATTATAAAACTTTATATAAAACTTAGATATTTACCGAATTTTTTTATAAAATAATATAAAAATATATCGATTATGGCACGATATTTCAATACAAAATGGTCAATAGATTTCTCGCATAATCCATGACTTTTTTTAATGTACTCAGCTTTAAGTAAAAATTTCGAAATGAATTTAGAAAAAATTTTCATCCCTATGAAAGTAAGATAAATCAGAAAATTAGGATTAACACTTGTAGAATTAATTTATTTTGTAGTGTATAAGATTTATTATGTATCAGTAAAGTACACATAGATTTACATATTCGAAATATAAGTATGTATAATTCAAACCCAAATAGTATGGATAGTGTGAATTAAATTGCGATAATTGATTTTAAAGAGTCATTTTTAAACGAAATTTTATGAGGAATAAATAATTAGAATTGAAGTATATCGTACTTAAGTGGAGTATGCTGGGAATTTTGCTGAAAGTGGATGTTGAAGATCAATCAAGAAATAGATTGTACCAGCAAGACCTAAAATAATATATATAGATATTATTAGTTCCATAAAAGATAAGAAAAGATGATTATTATTTATAAGAAAATACCTTCAAATAATGAAAATGGTCTGTCAGGTGACCTGCTTTGATGTGTTCCATAATCCATGCACCACTCTGCAAACTTGCAAGCTCTGTAAAGATATTTTATATCCTGCAAAAAAAATCAATACTTTATTCTGATAATATCTATCCAAATTATGTTATATCTTTATTGTAAATTCAATATAACCTTTGTTTGCTGGAAAAGACTTAAAAACGTGTATGCATTTCCAGCTACACCATGACATATTCCATATCCTTTTTTAAGTAATCCTCTTGACCAAATCACTTCTCCACATTGTACAGCAGTTGTTAAATAATTTTTATCTTTGTATATCTATATACACATACATTTCATTATGTATTAGAAATTTAAAATTACTAAAAGTTATATGATTTAAACAATAACAACCTCATAAGCTAAACAAAATAACATAGTCATTCCAGGTGCTCCATGGCACCAATGGATCAATTTATCAGTGTGACTTCCAATAGAGGATGGAAAGTTTCCAGAAGGATATCGTATATTCTGAAGGAAGTCTAATGCAGGCTTTATATCCTTTTGTAATTGAGTTTGTGTCAAATACTGCTGTGCCTATAAATAGATTTAAATATTTGAAGATTACAAAAAATTTTTCATACAAGTATTGCTATTGAAATAGCATAAAAAAAATTTGTATTTATACTACAGATGTATCGATTAATAGCCTAGCTGGTTCAGCCGATTATCGGCCCATTTTTGTAATCGGCGATAAATCGACAACTGGTCGGCAAAAAAAGTCAATCGACCGGCCTTAAATTTTTAGTATTATTGATAACTTGATATAGAAATAAAAATTCAATGTTCTTTCTTGACTGTCATTAGTATAATTTTAATATTTTTTAATATGTATATATTATTACTTGTAGTAATGTATTTATGTGCAACATGATTATTACATAAAAATTTTAAAATAATAGTTAGTACTTATTGAAATATCCTAAATAAGTACCAATTGACCAGGAATTTTGGCCACTATTTCTTAATTTTATCATAATCAAAAGCTTGTTAAAACAAAGAAACAAGACATAACAAAATAAATATATAAATAACAAACAATGTCAACAAATTTTTTCTTTGGATTCGTAATATTAAACAATCCTAAATTCAACATATTTTGTAGCAATATCTGAAAATGATCCCCAGAGATGGCTAGTTGGCTTCTTGGAAGCCGATTAATCAGTTAGTCGGTTAGTCGACCAAAAACATAATTAATGCATCTTTCATTTATACCATACCTGTAATAGTATATAAAGTATTCCACCCAGTCCATGTGCACCACCAATATACTCTGACCCATGCCAAACATACATTAAAGGTGTTTTGTACTTTCTTGAAGCAGAATACAGATTTCCAGATTTAATTATGAGTGCTATGACCTGATATGATATTTTTTTAATTATTGTGTATTAAAGCACTGATTACCTTTACTTTAAATTTAACTTTCATTGCTCTGTTAGTACCTGTTTAATAAGATCATTTTCTATGGGAGCAGGAGATATATTTGAATTTAAGAAGAGGAGGGAAAACAGATAACCAGCTCTTCCATAAAGTAACTCATCAGGCAAATCACTACTTTCATTTAAAACAACTGATTGCAGTGATTTTACTCTGAAAGATAATCCAAATTATAAAACTTAAAAATATTATTTCAAATTCTGTACATGTATAAGTGTGAAATATTATTAAACTATATACTTTGAAATCATATTTTGTGCTACATCAGAATAGCCTTTGGAATGAAAAACAACTGCACCTAAGGCTAGTGGACCTACAATACCAGTCAAAAATGTAATTTCTCTTTTACCCCTGAATTTGTCTATACATATCCTTAATAATTCCATTGCTTCCTGCTCAGAAAAAATGTGCATTTAAGAAATAATTCATCTTTTAAAGGAATAAGAATATTGAAGGATTCATACATCAATGTAAGCTGGTTCATTAAAGCACTTTCCATATTTGTAAAACATGTACGCAATCCCTGCTGATCCAGTATATATGGAATAATCATCGTTATAAGTCCAATGGTTTTTCTTTTCTTTCAATCGATCTATTAATCTCTTTATATATATTTTTATTGTTTCTTTATAGTCTTCATTGATCTAACAAGCATCAATCTCTTTAAGTTCCATACATACACATATGCTTGTAAATAATTTATATTTATATGCTTATAATAATTTACTATCTAATTATTGAATAATGTATATATATATTGAACAATAATTACCTCATTAGTAGTTGCGTTCACAACATTTGCTGAAAGTACATTAGGATAATCATCAAATGGATTATCATAATGTCGATTATCCATTTTGGCACAAATTAAGTGCTTAAATCGATTAATTATATTAATATATGTTGTGCCAAGCGATTTTTCTCTGCTTATTTTATATGTGACACCTGCCTAGGAAAAATTTTGTAGTCCAATATTTTACCAATCAATAATTTTAATTTTTTAAGTTAGCTCGCGAGAAAGAAGATTTTTTATATGTATAAAATAAATATTGTTTATTAAATATCATATTAAAAAAATTACCGGTGTACCTGGTAACAAGGTTAAAAAATATATTTTTTGTTAAATGAGAGTAATACTTCTCAAATACAGATTAATATGTTTATTACATAAAAAAATCCAAATAAATATCTTCTACAAATACTACATTCTATATAATCATAATGGAGAAAGATTTTTTAGAAACATACTGAAAACGTAAGTATTTGACGCATCATTCTAAAAATATACATATATCACTTATCAACAAACCTGCCTCTCAAATTGTTTTTAAGAATTAGATTTTCCAGTAAAATATTATTTGTAATGCACAAAGAAAGAGAAAAGTTTAGGACACAATTATGTTTACAACTATAATCGTAATCTAGCATTCGAGATATCGAAACATGAAAATAAAACTTTTTACTTTCGTGTCAACGTTACCGACTGAGTATAGATTAAAAATATTCAGGGTGAATAGTTCCATAATATGTAATATGGTTCAAAGAAATTTTTAAAATAATTACAATGTACGTTTTATCCATTTTTTCTCCAAGTCATCAAATCAAAGCATATCAACAAGTGAGTCATAACCACACTCATATTTTTAAATTTAAACGCACTTTTACAATTTTTCGTTATTTTTCAGGTGAATAACTACTAGTTTCTAACATTTTATATGCCACACATAAATATATAATCATGCTAAGAATCCAATTTTGGTCTCGATCATGTACCGAAGCGCACTATCCATTTCCGGTTTCTTAAATTTAAATTCAAGTTATCTTAAAAAGTTTTGAAAGGAACAATATCTTCTTCCACACTAATTGTAAGGTTTAATTATATCTAGAATTTACCATTATTCTATAATATAAAAGAAAGGAAAATAAGGAAACATTTCCCTTAAATAAAACTCCGTATATTTCTACAAAGTCATCCGACATATCGTCGAAGCGCGTTATTCCGATTTCCTTCCATAATATTGATCATCCAAACGATGATGGAACTCGGCGATATTCGGTAAATAAATTTGATTATTCCAATCAAAATAGAATGTTGTAGGAATCCGGTGGTTACATTTTCTTTGCCTATAGTCCTGATCGCACTCTGAACGTATTTTTCAGGTGTAGGAACTAGCCATCCTGATCGCGGTGACTCTGTCGTATGATTTGTCACCGTGCCTGGTAACAAGCACTGCACGATTACACCTTGTTTTCCATATTCTATCTGTAAGTCTCTGCTAAATTTGACAATGTATGCCTTTGTTGCAGCGAACACTGTCAATAAAGGACTCGGCAACACAGCCACCATTGAGGCTACGTTCACTATGACTCCTTTTCCTCTAACAACCATTTGTGGTAATAGGATTCGACACATATTCGTTACAACGACTATGTTACAATGAACGATACTCATGTAGATCTTCTCTTTGTGAGGAAGATCCAGGAAATATTCCGGATGCGGATATGACATGCCGAGATTATTTATCAACACGCCGATCTCCAAGCCGAACATTTCTTTTTCTATCACGTTGTACGTCTCCAGACCTTCCGACAGATCCAGCTTAATTACTTTTGTCTTCACATTGTACATCGCCTCGATATTACTCGCGATAGATTTTAAATTCTCCGTATCAGGACTGACCAGGATCACGTTCAAACCCATCCTCGCTAATGCCTCCGCGTACGCTCTTCCAATTCCATGAGAACATCCTGTGACTACTGCCCACTTACCCATTGAACATAAATCAACTACAGATACTGAGAAAAAGTTCTTGTATATTCGGTATATTACATCACGGGAAAGTCTGTAGCCCCAATATATAATCGCCGCATAACCTATCTTCTCGACCAACATTATTTGCGATTGTAACACGTGCTTCCGGTCTAGTTTCTGATCAGTGTCACAGGACAACCGATAAGTTGGCTGACTTCATTTATCGTCTCGAGTAATTCGTCACTAATGGATTGGAAAAGGAGTTCTTTGCGCAATACTCAATGCTGGCGTAGCGGTGACATATTGTGAGGTCCTGAAACAGTCGAACGGAAATTAGCAGAATTTGAAAAAAGCAGACAGCTTTTCAATATTTCTCGTGTTCTATTTTTGAATTATTTTTTATCTATTAAATGGTATATAGTCTTCCCTTCACTTTCATTTTTTCGATAGAATTAGTTTGTTGTAACTAAGTTCGAACTAATTTGTTCTGTCAGTGCCGATGTACTGGTCACATCTCTTACTTTGTACTATTTAGCGCTACAGCTGAAATTCTAAACTTGTACCATGTCTTCCTCAAACTTTTCACTGAAAAATATAAATAGAATGAGAAATTGAATACTTCAGTGAATGAAATTTCCTATTTTACGATTTGTAATTGTCTAAATATCAATTCGCAAAGAGACACTCACAATGATTATGACAGAGCAACAGCTTTTACTAAAGTTTCTCTAAATGAAATTTAGTAAAAATTGATTATATAAATGAAAAATCGAGAATATTATCTAATAATTTGTTTTTTATATTTTGACTATCAAGTCTTTTCCGTACGAGATAGTAAACCATATCCGCTGCCAACAGATGTTAAAGCGTTTGCATATTTCCTGTTATTCATCTCAAGCATGTTTAGCACTCAACAAAGTTAGTATTTAAAACATTGTCCGAGGAAAACAAGGTTCTTTTATCTTCCTGGAGATCCTTGTTATAGGTGAACGGAATTCCTCCCAAAAAGTAGTCATGAAACTCATTAAATATGGAATATCATGGATATATGGTAGTGTGCCAAAATTTCCAGCCAGGAAAATTTTTTACTTTATATTCGAGAAACGAAAAATAAAAGAATTTTAAGCATTGAGTATTGAGTATTGAGATTTTAAGTATTGAGTATAATAGTATGATAAGTAAAAGAAAATATGTAGTATAATACACATACAGAACTATTACATAGTCGCATAATATTTTTTAAAATTCGTTAAGATACCGTGGGAAAACTATCTGATCTAAAACTTTTGGACGTCACTGTATAACCGAGTAACTTAACCAGCAAAATTAGTAGAATTACAAATATTTCCAAGTAGAATACCAATTTTTCATTCGTGAAAATAAATACAATCATGATTGTGTTACCGAGGCACCAAATATATTCACGAAACCGAATTCCTCGCTGCTATAAATGGTCAAACCATCGCAAAGGCGACTCAATTGAATCGCTGTTAATGAAGACCAAAAGAGAAACTTAGCTTGAAATGAAGAATTACAACATGCAAGTATCGAATATGTAAATTGAGAGAAAAATTCTTTTCTCTTCTGACATTTTTCTGATATTTCAACTAAATTTGTTTTTTATATTTGCATGTTATTCACTTCGACAAGTATTAAAACAATAGTGTTGAAAGTATGTTTACAGCTCACCGACAAGGTCTCTGTCGCGTACATGCCGTTCTCTATTATTTCAGGAAAATCCAGTTTGTTGGGCAAAGAACGTCGATCAATTTGGAAGGGATTCGCCGTTATTGCATCATTGCCCTAAGGCACGCTTGACTTCGTATTTCTTGCAACCTCTCCATGTCCCGCTTTCGCGTACCATGCTTCCATCAACTTCTATTAACAAAGATATATTTTTATTTCATTCTTATATTTATGTTTATTTTAAATTAATTTCAATTTATTTCTAATTGCAAATTTAATATCAGTTTTCAAGTTAAGCATAACATATAGTGGCTATATAATACTCTTTTTTTTCCCATAAAGTTTTTTTATTAAGTTCTATACATATTTCATTTTCATAGTATCACATTTTCAAGTCATGTGAAACTACTACTAGATATTAGTACTAGGAAATTTAATATATTTGGTCTTAATTAGTATAAATGCTATAATAAATACAATGGTGTGTGCTTTTTGCAACCACTACATTTACCATTGACTCCACTTTACTGGCTGGGCACGTTACAAGTGAGTGCGGGAATAATAATCTCCGTGACATTCTCGATTCGATCGACGAGAAACTGTATACGTCATAAGCTCGAATTACAGTTTCCCTTCTGACGACGTAATTTGAACTTTCATACCTGAACGAGTTTCGTCACTGTCTTTATAAGTATGTCTATGGACCTCCGAAGCTATAATTTCGTGTCCGTTACCGTCTGATCATTTCGGCCCTTTCCAGTGTGTAATTTCTTCGCAACATTTCTAATTATAATTTTATTTTAGGGCTGTCATTATGATGAAATTGATATTTCACCAAAATTGTCGTTATAAAGAGTAAGAAGGAAAAATTGTTGTTATAAGTATCCTTGACGAATTTTTAATAAGTAGAGCAGATAAGTATGTCAGAATTAATTTCACGATTATTATATAGATAGGTGCATAGTTGTACATAACCACTTCCGTTTGATAAAAATGTTTGAAAAAAACATGCACCGACACTGTGAATGTACCGAAAGTCGACGCTCGTTCGCAGTGTGGATGTCCTCATCTCCGGCGTACATGGCGAATTTACTCTTTTCCCATCCAGCTTTCACCTGCACCAAGTGCTCTTACATTATATAAGTTTGATTATTACTTTTTCTCACGAAATCGATATATTGTTCTTTGTTTTTTTTTATAATAATTTTTTCAATACTTATTCAAGGCTATTTGCTATAGATTGCGATCCTTTATCCAAGAAGATTGTAATGGTTTTACATACGTTAAATAGACTGCGTCTAGAATAATTTATACACGATAAATATGCTACTAGAAATCAAGGTAAATATGTATTTGTCAAAAATACATTGAACAAGTGATACAACTATGTATCATTGTACATATCTCTTTCCTTGTTACATTTTCACATCCTTGGTGTAGTGAATATCTTGATAAAAAATATTTGATACATAATGGATATATTTTCGCCTGTTAAATGTTTACATCCTTGATATAACAAATATTTTATTAAAAAATCAACATTTATCAATTAAATATTTAACATATAATAAACATACTTCCTTTTTTTTAGTTACAAACTTCTATGTTCTTTGCATACATTCATTTATCAATACTGACCGATTGTATCGATACACCTAAATCATGAAACCCTGGACCGATACACAATCTTGTCCATATAAATGCAGCTAATGGTCGTCGCTGTCAATTGTCAATCTTCACTTTTTGTATATTAAATATAAATGAAATACTGCAGTCACTGTGTCATCGATAAAATCAAGATTTATTTAATCTTCGTGCTAATCAATTGTGTACACGTTACAAATAACGCGGGAGTCAGCTGCATAGTGGCTTATTCAAACAATTACAACACGTTCCCCTTGTACAAATTGTTGTCTCGAAAAAAACGTGAAACTTCGAAATCTTCGTCGAGAAATGTCTGAAAGTTTATCGATTATACTTACGAGGAAGATCACTCACATAATCGTTCTTAAATAATATATATATGCACAGAAATAGATTGCATGAAGTAAATATTGAATAAAACAATAGCAAAGGCATGATATGTTTCTGTCATTAGTAATGGCAACGATATTTCGCCTTATAGTTCTTGTGTTTATTATTAAAGTTAATCAGTATTATCTCTAATTTCTATATTTTCTTTTCGCTTCACATAAAAAAAACTTAATCGTAATTGATGACTCATTCTCTATTAGAGTTAAAATGCAATCAATTAAAGGAGTTGCAATCGGCCAAACAATGCAATTGAAAGTCGAAAAGAAACTTCCTGCTAATTACACCTAAATACCTAGTTAAATGAACTTACTACAACTCCTCTATTTATAGCATTTGATGAAATGTTTTCGTAATTATAAAATCTCTTGAATATAAATTAATCAGTCACACAACAATCAACAATGGAAATAATAACAGAAATTCTTCGTGATTATTCCTACCTATCTTTTTTTGTCCTTCGAATAAGTCTTCGATGATAAGCTCGTGATAGAACAGCTAACATAATTACGATGCCTCGATTGATAAACCCATTGAGTATATACAACCATTGTCCTTAAACATTTCTCTTCTGACAAGCGTCACATGTGGTTTCATTAAAACCGCGTCGAGCTTCACGTCGAGTTTAATATACAACACGATAATAGTTATCGTTATTCTTGCACTGGCTTCACTCCCAACGATACCTCCGATAAATCAGAACCTATTCAATGCTATCAGCAACTTTTTGATCACCTTTCCGGGTAAGTACACAAATCTCCAAGTTTTCTCTATTACGGTTGTTGATGTATGTTGATGTTGTTGTATACCGATAGGATCGATAATCCTATAATTCTGTCAAAATTTCATTAAAATGTAGAAAAGAAATTCGTATAAGGAGAAACTTACATTGTAAGATATTTCTCACAAGAGCCTGTTTGAACAAAGCATTCTTCATTCTCGGCATTGATGATTAAGCGATCACAATGTGCATGCGACGTTGCTAGCTCCGGATGGCAATCATTTGTTGACGACTATTTGAATCATAGAAGAACAGAATTTTAGTTCCAGTACTGTAATAGAACACTTTGTCACGTTTATATTCTCCTTGATAAAGTGTCCAATTTTAACCCAGTAACGAAATAACACTAATTTGGTTCAATAACTGATAATATTAAGAATAAAAGACAAGATATAGTGATAAATGTGTAATTGATCCTCAGATATCTATTGGATTTAAGAAATAAACGTTATTTATGTATCGATGAGTTATCTTGGACCAAAGATTGAAAATAACAAAGGCATTGTGTGTTCGAGCGAAGAAAGAAGAGAAAGGTGGAATTAATGTAAAAGAGAAGGTATGGATGAAAAAGAGAAAGAAAATAAATTGGAGGTGGTGGAAGAAGTGGTAGTGAAAGATGTTATCTCCGTCGACACGACGGACAAAAAGTCTCAAGCATACAAACAATCAAATACATATGCCGCGAAAAAGACTGTAGCACAAGGTATGATGGATGTTGCCCTAATCACCGCCAATGCAAATCAATTAAGATACCTGATTGAATATCAACGAGAGAGCCCCACTTTTTTTCTGATTCTGAGTTTAATCATTATCAGTCTCCTTCTCCAGGTATAATACTCCATCAGATTAACGCAATGTTTCTTTCTACTACCTTCTCTAAATTTTAATGGATAACGAATTGCAACAAACTAATATGATACAGATACGAACGAGTATAGAATATTATTTTTTCTGTTTTATAGAAGAGTATGTTTGATGAGAAAGATGCTATCAAATTTTAGGTGGCCGTAGGCGTCAGTTTGATTTTCAAAGGTCGATTTGACATAAAAGGACAATCGAAATCACGACAGGCACGAAAAATTAATAATTACGTGGTAGTTGGAGTTTTTCTAATAACTATCATCAACGTATTTATTGCCGCGTTTAGTATATCTGTTCCTGTTCCTACCACATTACCGCTGTTAAGAAATGATAATTAACAGTAATGTAATGTAAAGAAGTATTTTATATTGATCTTTGTGAAAACAGATAGCTCTCTCTTATTCTTTTATCTTTGTATATGAATAACTGATAATAAGATATCTGAAATTGATGTATCAAATGTATTAATTTATAATATTATTGTTAGAGATAAATTTCTTCTATATTCGAATGTTCTATCCTCTATTAAAATATACTTTCTGTTTCTATTTAAATATATTATGTAATCATGTTATAAATAAGTAATTGATAAATAAATAATTTAATATTTTTTTAAAAAGAAAGAATCAGATGTTATCTTTTACTTCATGATGCATGATTGTCTATTTTAGTAGGTAAGAGCTGTGGATTGCGTTAACGTTTATGTTAAAAGTATCTAGTTAACAAGTGATGCAACGTGCAAATTTTCAGGAAATTACTTTATCTAACAGTCTTTTGCTTCAACATCTTTCGTAAACGACTAAGTTATTAACGAATAAGTTACAACATTCTACGTCTATTCCTTTCTCTTTCGTGTCTATTGATATATTTGTATTTAAACATTTATCGATAAAGTCAACAATTTCAGTTACATAAATGGCATGATACATATCTTTTTTTTAGAAATTACAATTTTACGAAGAAGCTACTTTCTTCTAAGATTTGGAAAATTGGTCTTTTATTAGTTTAATGCAATCAATTCGGATATAATTTTAGTCCCATATCATCGGTATTTCTTTCTTTCTTTTTTTACAAAATATTTGCTTCTATACAAAATCATCATTTAATATTTTTCAAAATTTTGATATGTTTTCTTGTATATTTGAATACAGTTATAACATTCGAATCTCACAAACGAAGTAATTAATAATGGGTAATTATCGTTACAAATTTAACGAAAAAATTTGAATATTTACTTCCGGTTCTTTTTTAATCGCAAATTCCACACGCATATTTTATTTATCTCATCATATTCATAGCAAAAATATTTAGTTAGACCGATATACATATCTGATCTACTTAAACCTAATTTCCAGTATATATAAAAGCTGACTGTTAAATAAATAGTATAAACATTATTTTAACGTATATTCAACGTTCCTTTTAAAACTATGTACACATAACAGATTTAGGTTTCTGCTATCACGAACCCTATCATCTCTGTAGATGAATTTTTTTTCTTTTTTGTTCTTCCACAATAACAAAGAAGAAACATTCATTCTGCATTAGTTCATAAAATTTGCGCTATAAATTATATATGAGTCTATTTCTTCTTTAGTTAATACAAAAAATAATACAGTAGAAGAGGAAGTTGCATGTTAAAGTAAATTAATATTTGTTATATGTTCGTTTTTTTATAGTTTTTGATATTTGGTAGTCACAACACAAACCGAATACGATTTGTAACATGTACTATGTTATATGTACATTCAATAGAAGAACAATTTACTTCTTAAAACTGGACAAAGATACATGCCCATTAATAGCTCTTTTTCTCTTTTCTTTTTCTTCTTAAATGCAACAATACTTCTATATAATGCGTTCAAAGTAAAATTTTGTAATTCTCCCATTCTTCATACAATCTTATTAGCTTATCATATGTAACAAGTCTTTTGTTTTAACATCTCTCGCTACTTTCCCTTTATCCTAGTTAACAAATATAGCGTAGATCCCCTCTTTCTCTTAATTACGCTCTCGTGTCGGTATTTCCATATATTCGGCAGTAATCGAAGCAAAAAATCCTGCAACTATGATTTTTCTAGTCAATCGAAAGAGAAGTTCGGACGTCGAACAGCGTTTACGTTACAATAATATTGCATAGAATATAATAAAATACAATAACTAATAATTAACATATTCCTTTTTTCTCATTTCTGTGTGACTAGGATTTCTCCATAGTGGCATAAAACTTTTTATCTTGTGCTTCATACACTCCCATAGACAATTTCTCTGTTTCCGCTTCAATCCTGTGGTCTCGACACCTATATCACACACGTGAAAATATACAATTCTTACTACATCGTTAATCGTAACCTTACGTCTACGTACTTTAATAGGATAAATCTAAGAAGAGTCGTTTGATGCGCTGCTTTCTTTTTTTAATTGAACGAATGAATTATATTGTCCAACAATGCAGGACTGCTCATACTTCATGATGAAGTAAGGAAGTTCATTTAATTCGTTTGTATATTGTAAAACACCGTTCTCATGACTTCCTCTCTTAATACAGAGGCCGACAGATATTAGAACTGACATAATGTCATAAATAGTTAATGGATAAAAAAAAAAACGTAAAAAAATTAGTGTAATAAAATATTAAAAATTATCATCCCTTAATCTATCGGGATATATAAAGACTCTAGAAACTCCTTTAAGATATTATAATTTACATCAGTTCAGGGCACCTGTTTTAGCATCGTAGGCGACTAGATACAAGGCCGTTATTTAAATACCTCAAACGAGTTTCCAAGTCTATAAACAAAACAGTAAAAAAAGAGAAGATCGTTTCTTTAACAAAGATTTAGCATACTGATGAATTTAAATGTAACTTATGTATACTTTTACAAGGCTCGATTCCCAGTTTTGAAACGTCAGGTATATAAGTCGACCTTAACATGCGTAATACGATTAATTTTATAATAGATAAAAGCTTAAATTCTTAAAAGTCGATCTGTACAATAATACATATAGATACATTAACTATACGTTTCTTTTTTTTCTTTCTTTTTTTTTTTTTTTAGATTTTAGGTGAAGTTCCTATGAATTAACATAGTTTCGATGTATCTTTTGTATACAGTTTAGTATCGAAATTATTGCAATCTCTTCGAGTATTAAGTTAGAAAAATTGTAATGTGTTTAATACTTTTATTTCCTTGTTCTATTCTGATTGATAGATCAACTCCAATTAATTTGAAAATCTATTTTACGTTTACAGTTTTGTTCCACCATAAATGTGCATCTTGGACTATCGGTCGCTAACTTAAAATTATATGTATTTTGAGTTACACGAATTGGGCAGGACAAACTAAGGCAAATTTCGTAATCATCATACAGGAAGTGTACTAACTTTTGAAGTAATAGTACAAATTTACATGGAATTTGTAATATTGTTAACTGCACTACAGAATTACGCTAGTTTTTACTTAACTGTATTATTATTATATTTCTTATAATATTTATTGAAGCAGCTTGAATAGGTATGATCGTTTCCATGGTATTCATTTTATTTGGCAAATGCTGATCCTCAGTTAAACGAATAAATACTAGTAAATGAAAAATTGATATTTTTATGCCTGTTGTGTTATATAACATCGTATTTGCTTTATATAATATCTTCTTTTCTCCTTCAGACCAGATAATTGCATGTCACAATTCTTTTGAAATTATACCAGAACCTTTATTCTGCCCTTACCTGCCCTATCCATGTAAATATGCCTTACTTCCTGATAACACATTATGTGATTTCCTTTTTCGGAACATTTACATGTGATTTTCATTCTTCTTTGGATATCAAATTCAAAATCATTATATTATACATTTAAAGTAGCTAATCTGTTTACATGTTTATTGATAGCAGATTTATCACAGTGATACATTATTTTATTCCTCGAGTCATATGCTTCATCTGAAACAATATTTCATATCTTTATTAACAAGGTATTATTCAGACTACATCTCATAATCTTATGTGTTAATTCTTTCTGACCTGAGTTAATCATCCCAGTCATCATCATCATCACTGGTTTCACTAGTCGAATCATCACTTTCACTATGGATTGCACTTGATCGCTCGGCAAGAGCTCTTGATAAAGCACTAGCTAATCCTCCTTGAAACGCTGGTTTACTTCGTTCATTTTTTACTTCGTTCGAAACGGGCCTTAACACAAATTCTTGACGACGAATTTCTTCTAACAAAGCATTCCTTGAATCTGGAGGAGGGGGACTTTGTTTTACTTCAGATTTATCAATTTTCTGTAACAGAAAGATAATATGTAATCATCAAAATCAGTTATACAATTTCGACTTCGTGATTATAAATTTTTCATTTTAATACTAACTCGAAGTCTAGTACCACTCCTTATGGATTCCATAAGCGTTGACCTTAGATCAGCGATATCCCCATTATTATTGTCATTACTAGTAGTATTATTATTATTGATAGCACTTGCGTTAACTGTTCCATCATCAGTACTTGGTAATGGTGGAGGAGGTGGAACAGGTGTAGTTAAATTACTTCTAGAACGCGGAGCTGGAGCTGGAGCTGGAGCAGGAGCTGGAGCTGGTGGAGGTGGTGGAGGAGGAGGAGGCGGAGGTGGAGGTGGTGGTAGTGATGGTGCGAAAGTTAAAGAAGGTGGTGGCGGTCGAGATGGTAATGTTCTATGAACTGGTGGTGCACTAGGTGGTGCACTAGGTGGTACACTTGGCGGTGTTGAAGGTGCATTAATTCGATTTGGAGGTAGTGGTGGAGCACTTCGTGTTTGATGCTGCAAAAATGTTCGAAAACGTACTTCATAAAGACTGCTTATTTTATATAGACATGTAATATTATAGAGAAAAATAAACAAACTGTTATTGTTCTTGCTGGAACTGGAGGGGGATATTCCTGTCTTTGAGGCGCAGCTGGAGATTGTTGCTGATGTTGTTGTTGTTGTTGGAATTGTTGTAATTGTTGTTGTGCATTAGTTTTCGGGGCAGATGAAGATATATCTTCCCTAATGGCATTCATCCCACCATTTTTTTCAATAAAATCGTAAATAAAATCACGCGTGTCTTGATTTCTGAATTGATGTTCCGACACACCAACTATATCAAGAAATATTTTTAAATGTGGATCGACTTTGTCCAATTCCAATTCTTTGCTACTAGTATTCCATGACAAGTGTGTAACGTGTCTAAAAATATTAAAATAAATATAAACACATATTTGTAAAATGTAACCAATATTATAAGTGGGCACAATAGGCACAAGCATAAATGGGACAAATTAGTAAACTCCCAACCTAAAATTGGATGGAGGACCAATGTCATCTTTCGTTAATCTTTTCTTGGTTTTCTCTCGTTTTTTCTTTTTACTTTTGTACATAGAACTACTAGAAGCACTCCTATTGACACCAATTGTAGTTGGGGTTCCATTTAATAAATTAGAAGTTGATCCTGTACTAAATGCAACAGGTGATGCGTTGCTTTGATTTCTCCATGGCAATGTTGCACCATGCTGAGTTTCTCCTTCTACCTTAGAGCGTCTTTGTTGCCTTTTCTGACGTTTGGCATTCAACTTATCAAGAAGAATGTTTCTAAAACCAAGTAATTTTTCAAAATTAAATTCAGAAAAGAATATATAACACTTTATTTGATATTTTTATTTCATATCCTAATACAACTTACCTTAATGTAACAGCATCTGTTTCACTTGCAAAATTAAAAGCAGTCATACAATCCTCTGCTTCAAATGTATGGAAGTAACTCATTGGTGCTTTATAGTCCATTGCATTATATACTTCATGCTCCCATAACATTGCTTTCCTTTGTAAGCAATATAAACGAAGGAAAAAACTACGTCTAGGATTATCCCTTATCAATGTTATAATACCTGTAGTTTTCTTTATCCATTCTTTGTGTAAAGGTGGTTCAGTCAAATATAATTGAATAACTCCAGCTGCTAAACACTGCAAGGCATAAAAAATTATTTATTTCTTCTAGTATTATATTACTCATTGAACAATTAATTCTTATGTTAACATTATATTAATTAAATACAAATAACATAAAATATTCATAAACGATATGAGAAAGCACAAAGATTGCAACAACAACTGGAAAACAAGTATATAATTATATTGTGGAAAATTTCTGCATAATTACTATTCTTTCGATGCATCATTTGACTCATTCATGACTAATACGTAATTTTAAGCATATGAGTTTATTCTCACAGCAAGTTTAAGCAAAAAATATATAAAACCAGTGCTGCTTTCACACAAAACAATTAATAAAATATCTTTAACATTGAACATTCTTTTCTGCACTGTTAAATATATCACAAACGGAAGTAATGTTTAATTCGAATATCAGCGATGACGAGATTATTTACAAATACCATAAAAATGAAGTTGACAGAACGCGTTTATCTATATCTGTCGATCGACAGATAAAATTTAGGTCATAATCATAGTACTATAATGACAGTTATGATATTCGCAGGTGCAAATTTTCGTTAAAGTAGTTTTTACCTGACACCGATTTCCTATCAATTGATAGACTTGTTCGTTTTCTTCCGTTTTTAAAAGCGTAGAACCTCTATGTTTGTTCACAGTGCCAGACTTCATTTTCAACAAGGTTAGGATCCTCGTACTATCGTACTAATTTCTTACCACGTTCTTTCTCGATCGATAGTTTCTCTTTCATAATTTACCTTCAATGTATCTCACTTTCAAACATTCTTTTTACAAATTGAATGCACACAATGACGTGAAATCCGTGGAATTATAATTGATCAATCATCACCTTCCAAAAGCTATTCCTGATACTATCCTACACAGGAAACTCCACCAGTTGGTGATGACATTTTTATCTATCCGGTTCAATGTTCCACGTTTCCTCATTCGATATATTCTCGCTCTTAAATCAGATTGGACCTCGCAAATCACCAACTATTGTTACACGCATCGTTATATGTGTATTTGGTACGAATATTTGGCGAAATCATAACATTTTTAATCACATATGGCAATCAAAAGGATTATAAAGATTATACTTTTTATAATAAAGATTATATTTTTTAACAGAAGATTATATTTCGTGCGAGCATTTAGGGAAATCATTATCTTTTTAACTATATATAACGATAAAAAGATTTTAAAATATAATACAAACAAGCTTTTTTCAATATTTATTATTTTATATTTTAGATGAACTATTGCATCAAGTAAACAAAGCACAAACATATAGGTATATAGTTATAATATTCTATTTCATACGAGATGGTAAACATTCTTTATTTATTATTTTATACACAATATCCTTTATTTTCTACTTATTTTGTATTTCAGATGAATTATTGTGTCAAATTATGTGTCAAATTGTAAGTAAAAATATATATGGATATATAGTCATAATATTTTATTGCTAAAATATAAAAAAATACTCCTTACTTATTGTTTCATTTTATTTCTTACATATCGTATTTATGTTATATTTTTTATATAAATAATACATATCCATATCATATTTGTGTTGTATTTATATTCTTAACTTTTCTTTATCATTTCATGTATTATATTAACACACAAATTTCAAACAATTTAAGACTACAAGTGTATGATAAATATAAATACGAGCACTCTAAAATGAACATTTATTGTATTTTATTGTATAGCCATCATAAAATCACACGCAAGACAATTTGTAATAATATACATTATAATTAAAAATTATCATATGTTTTTAAATTTGTGTATGTTTATACACGTTTTAGTTAGGAATTTAAATTTTTAGCGCGTTTTATTATACTTCGTTGTCGCTATAATCACACAAGCTGCAAATGGCCACGGGTACAATTCACGTAGTCTCAGAAATGCGATATCAAATAGAATCGTATTTTATATGCAAAATAGGATCGTCAATGATGATAGGGGAACAGTGATCATTGTTACGTGTGTATTCCTTCGGAAATAAAGCTGTCCGCGATTTTTTTAAGGTCGCGTTATTTAGTTTTCCGCGGGAAAACAATGTCTGGATATCGAAGAGTGAATTATTACGAACTGTGCAGATTGTGTACTAGTAGCGAAGGAACCAAAATGAATATTTTCCGGGAAGAAGGACGTAGATTGCAACTTCAAACAAAGATTCAGACGTACTTGCCTATACAAGTGAGATTTTTGTACACTTTCATTTTGACCCAGACATGGTTTTGAAAAATTTCAATTGATAAAACAGATAATTTCTTATTGATATATCTATATGGTCATTGTAATTCTTTCTTTATTTAATAATATAATCTGATTAGGTATGAAAGGATATGGATGGTTTATATAATTAGTATTTAATTTGAACTTTAAGGTTTTGGAGGAAGATTCCTTGCCAAAAATTGTTTGCCACGAATGTGTAAAGAAATTAGAAAATTTTATTGAATTCAGAGAAACAGTTGTGAGCGCAGAGGGTATGTTAGAATCTTATTTTACTTCACTGCGGTTCTCAGAAGATTTTCTAAAGGAGGGTAAGGTTTATGTGAAAAGCACAGAAAAGGACAGACCTACAACCCCTGAGAATGAAGTGTTAAAGGGAATAGAGAAAGTAACAACAACGACTGGAAATCAAATAGTTAATAATGAGCAGCAAATGCAGCATCAACAACCTGTTGTTGTTAGTAATATAAATGCCTCGAATATTCAAATTATCAGTGGAGTCCAAGCAAGAGTTCAACAATACAAATGTGCCATGCAGGTTTGTTAACAGAGAAAATATTAAAAATTATTTTTATGTGATACTATTACTAATTTATATTAATATTTATCTTAGATGCAAGCAGGAGGTATGGCAGCTGCTGTTGTAGAAGCAACAGCAGAAACCCATTATAGCTATCAGCAACAAACTTCGCAGCAAGTATCTCCTCAACAATCAAATGAAGCACACAATCAAATTAACGATCAACAAACTACGACCTCACAAATTCAACAAGTGCAAAATCAAATTCAAAATCATGGTCAAATAAATCAACAAATACAATCTCAAAGACAAATTTCTCAGTCACAAAATCAACCACAAGTTGGTCAGCAGCAGCAGCAGCAACAACAACAACAAAATCAGACACAAATAACACAACAGATTCAGCAGTTACAAAGACAACAAAGAGAGTTTGAAAAACAACATAGACAGCTTCAACAAATTGAAAAACAGGTGCAAATTGCTACGCAACAGGAGTTTCCAATTAAGCAGGAACCTCAAGGACAGGTAGTACATCAAAATAATAATATCATTTTGAAGGCAGAACCTGAATCTAAGCAAAATCAACAAATCATTCAGAAAGTACAGTCTGAAACTCAAAAAGATGAAAGTGGAACACAAAATGTACAGGGTTATACTGTACAAGCTACACCAGAAGTATTTTTAAATCTGGGATTTAAAGAAACACCTTTGGTTGCACAAACTGTACGGGACGAGCCAAAAGAATTTAAAGATTATACAAAGTCAGAAGATACAATATCTCGCAACTCGATCGGACAAATTTCTGAATTCTTAAGAATCAAATCAGGGCCTGAACCAACATCTTTAATTACTGTAAATCCTCAAGTTATTTCACAAACTCATAGGAATGCCATTTGCAAAGAGTGTGGCAAAATTTTCACTACCATAAATCAATTGAACACTCATAGTTGCTCTGTTCAGAGCCTTTTGAATGAAACTTCTGATAATAGTAGTAACAAAGAAGATCCTTTACAAAGTAATAGTAATTCATTTAGTTGTGATGTTTGTGGTAAACCATTCAAACGAAAAGAACACCTTTATCAACACAGGAAACTACATACCGGTGAACGTCCTTATGTGTGCACTACGTGTTCAAAAGCATTTAGTCGCAAAGAACATTTAGTTAGACACTCTGTATCTCACACAGGTGAAAAAATGCACGAATGTGAAATGTGTGGTAAAAGCTTTTCTAGAAAAGACAATCTTCACAAACATCGTAAAACGCATGGTGTATCGGGTCCATATATTTGTGAAACCTGTGGGAAGTCATTTGTGGTGAAGCATTATTATTTAATGCATTTAACAACTCATGCTTCAACTATTGGAGATGGTGTAAATTGTCAGGATCCTTTACCATACAAATGTGATATTTGTCACAAAGCATTCTCTGTAAAACAATATCTTACAACTCACAAACTTAGGCATAGATCAAAGTATAATAATAATTCTTCTCAGAATACTGCAAATGGTCATCAACAGCAGCAACAGCAACAACAGCAACAAACACAACAGTCAAATGCTACCAGTAATATAAATATGGTAACAAGTAATGTTACTAACTCTGGGAATCTAAATAATAGCAATGGTCAGTCTAATAATGGATCAACAGTTGAAATGCAGAGTGTCATTGAAAGAAATGAGCAACCAAATGGTTCATTCAATAACCAGTATCATAATAATGTACAAGAGTTTCAATGAGATAAGGGGAAGCGTGTCTATTATGTTCTCTTGCCAAATGGTAACAATCACAAGATTGTTGTTATGTGAGCAAGAGAATTTTTATGACGCGCTAAAATATTTTCTTAAACTATACCTGCTGTTACTCGAGAAGAAAATTTTTTGTACTTTAATAAGGCAAGAAGATGGATTTAAATACTATTATTTTAAACATATTAAAAGTTAAATAACTTATCATTTATATTATACTAATAATCAGTCGGTCAGAAAGTAGAATCTTCAGTGGCTTATGAGCTTAACTTAAAGTACATTGTATATATTTTGCCAGTAAAGTATTACATGTATGAAATGCATGCTATGTTTTGTATGAATGCACACTGTTATTTAATGTTCGAAAAAATCGTGTGTTAAAAAATTTATGTGTGCGTAGATAGTCATGAGGTTGTTCCAATACCTGATTAGAGATATATTTTCAATTCCATTAGCTTGAAATGAAGATATTAAATCAATATCTAATCAGAATTTTAGTTGCTTATACTAATAGAATTAGCATAGAAATATGTATAACATTTTTGTTGTATAATTTCTCATCGATAGTTAATGATGTAATCAATATTTAGATTTTTTTATTATAAACAATCAAATCAATTTTATAAAAATATTATTGTTTATATTTTGCTTTGTGCAATATCTTTTCTAGTTATATATATGTTATATACATAATTATTAGAATCAATGAAATAATTTTGTTTTTGTTTTTTTAACCAGTGATTGCAACAATCTATGACCATTTTGCAAAGTATTTTAGGATTATATGATTTGTATGTAAACTTAGAATGCAAAACAAAATCTAAGACCAAAGAAATTTATATTATATACATATAAATTGGATAAATAATAGGAAAATAAATGTAAGGTAAATTCAGGTATGATCTACCTGATTAGCTCTGTTACAGTTAAGATTTTGGTTAAGTATGCATACAATATATACATATATTGTATAGCACTATAATACATACAACGACCTTAAAGTCGTTGTTTTCTAACAAATGAGAGCGTGCCATACAGTAAACTTTGGAAATAAGTATATTGGAAAATATAATTGTCTAAAATTCTTGCTAAATTTCCAGCATATATTGACCAAAATCAAGAAGAATGAAGAGAATTTATATTTCTTAAGCCACATTACTTCCATTGTATCTGTCTATATAATTAGCATACATTATTACTTAATTTATGTTACCTTTCCATTTCTTTCTTTTTTCTTTCTTATAATTTGTCTCTTACATAATAAGATCAAACAGGGGGCAACTATATCTTCAAATAAAAGTTCCCAGTATATATTATTAATATTTCATCCATATACTTATTAAATTTTGTACTTTTGCACAATAATAGTGGGTTACCAAAAATTTATAATTTGCTCCAAATCGTTGTTTATAGTGATATTTAATTTATCTGCACCATTTTCTTCACTCTGTTTGATGTAACAAGTATTAGTGAAGAAGATTTGATCGCACAATTTTCTACCATATTTTTTACAGAGTATATTGATGCGTATTATTTACTGAAAATAAACAAAAATCTTCATTTAAATGTGAGCACAGAATTCGTAATTGAACATAACAATAACAGAATTTTGTTGTTGCATAATAAACGTCTTAAGATACAAATGAACTTTCTACAGTACAAAAGATTTATTTTAATTACTGGTCAGACTTTATTTTATTATAAAGTCTTGTATATATATATATGTATATCAAAGCAGAAGTAATGAATTTAAGACTGTGTTTCTATATCAGCTAGTGCTAGATGTACATTCAAAGTACATAGATTTATAGTAATGACATTGTATATAACATGGTCCAGTGAGTAAGACGAAAAATTGTTAGTGCACTGTTCCTAAGGAAAATGGTATTTTCCGCAAAGCAGAAAATACCTCTTTATTCATACTGAAGTATTGTAAAGTAGATATTAAATCCAAAGAAAAAGAGATACAGTGCTTTTATTAATTGCATACTTTGTGCCTAATTATTAAAGTCATGAGAATCATTTGTTTTGGAGATCTATTTATAAAAACAAATAAAATTGATAATCTTTGATTTTAAGTAGCCCCCTGCTCTATGTGCAACTTGCAACAAAATGACATTACTTGTTCAGATATGATTATTTTTGAAATTTATACTGTTAATTTTTATATTTTACATTGTATATATTTTCAAACTAATATTATATTTAAATATATTATAATATATTAAAAAGATACTAGTATATTATTTACTCCAGTCTTCCCATATAAATTTAAATTAAATTTCGTGATTTTTATTTCTATTTACAGGGACATTACGATTTTTAAGTTAATAAATTAAAACGTTGAATATGCATAATGTAATTTTAATCCTGCGCGCTATTTTAAGTTATGTAAATTAATACATAGATCTACAAAGTATAGTCTAAGTTATGTATATAAAACACAGAAACAATAAAGAAAAAGCGCTATTTATTAAATAATTATTTTTAAGATTTCATTATTTAAGGAAATAATAAGAATGCTGTATATTATCTGTTCTAGAACTAGTTCAAACAAAAGAGCATTAGAAGTTGTTAAGTAACACTGAAAAATATGGAATAAGTTAAAAAAAATATTAATTCGATATTTAAGAAAGTCGCTTTTTTTTCATTCGTAACGTAGGATTTGGAAAAAGCATTTTAAGTCATACTAAATGCTTTCTATAATTTTTCCGATCCGTATGAATTGCATATAAAATTTCAATTATACGTTTTAATATTTCATCATATATTTTTTTGCAAATTTGTTTTCAATTTGTTCTTACATAAAAAAACATCTTTATAATAAACTAAGGTCAAGTTTATAAGAAGTTGTTTAGTTTGATCAGAAAAGTGTGTGTGTGCAGTCATCATTTTGTATATAGATATACTTCTCAACAAATTAAACAAATTAAGTGCATTATGTTAAGACAATTAGTTTTTATGACGATATCTTTTCGAGTATAATCATTTTTATTTAAAATTGCATGTAATAATCTGGTAAGTATCAATAATATAGTGACAGTATTTCAAACGTAAGGTTATGTTGTTACTTGTTGATTTTTGAGTACAACAATAGTACAACAATTTGTGTGATTTGTTTATAAAAAGAAAGTATTCCATTGATACGAATTAAAGTCCTGAAAGTAAAATTTCATAGCATATGTAAAGTTTTGTCATAACATTATGGTGAACGAATTTCTCAATTTGATTAAGCATCAGTTACTTTGATTTGATGTTTACAAAATGTTTTTGATCTAAAATGAATATTTTTCATATTGTATATCCAATATGCAATTTGGCAACATTTTGTTTTAACAAATAAAACTCTATATACTGTTATAAAATAACATATTTCTGTAATTATTCATAATTTTTTTTGTAATAAAAAATTGTTTTAAGTTTTTGAATATATTAACTTTTATTTATAAAATATGTAAAAAAGTCATGTAGGATCACTGATCATAGTGGCGTATGGTTGGCAGAAATTTTATCACTATTTCTGGGTTTCAGCCAAAGAAACAGAGCTTATTCAGCAGTCAGAATTAGACTGTTTTGTGAACAAAACTTTCTTTGTGTTTTTACGTCAATTTCAATTTGAAAACAGAAAACAATTTCAATTTTTTAAAATTGTTAAAAAGATGCAAGAAGAATTAGAACCATTAGAAGATCAAGTGTTTCCGATACATAATCGTTCAATTTGTTTTATGTACATATATATTTATTTATATTTATAAATTATTTTGAATAAAACGTATATACAGCTTGACCAATTTGGATTATATGATGACTATGCGAAAAATACAAATCTTCTTTATTTGTTTTAGATTAGATTTAATATAAATTAATAGTAGTTATATAGAATATTTAAAAATTTTAAATTTTCATTACTTCAAGTTAAGGTATGTTCAAATTTTATTTTAATATTCTACTTACTATGTTATACAGGTGTAAAAAGAAAATGAAAATGAAACGTAGTAGATCTTTATCTCCTAAAGCATCAAGTAGTGAAGAAGATATGAAACGCATCAAATTTGAAGAAAATGAAAAGGCAAATGATATAATAATACATCCACATATATTAGACTTCTCTGATGATGTTCTATTGAACATATTTAAATATTTGAATCCTAAAGATCTCATGGCAATAAGTTTGTAAGTTTTATTAAACTAAATAAAGAAATATATATATGTATATATATTTCTTCTTTTATTACATGTTATTACTGTTTCTAGATCTTGTCAACGACTAGCTCAAATAGCACAAGATAAAACTTTATGGAGAAGGGTAGATTTTCGAGCAACACCTATATTATTAGATGATTTAAAAGAATATATAAAATTTCTACAGCCTATAACAACAAGTCTTGCTATGCGTGGTGATTTATATTGTGAAAATGATGCAGAACTTAGTCCTTACTTTCTCAACTCAGTTAAAGCTACATGTACTCAACTTAAAGAATTAATTATAGAGGAATATTGTATTAATGCAGACAAGGTAAGTTTAACTATTTTTATTATTTATCTTGGCAGATGAAATTAAAAAATTCTTTTGTAAATTACATATTTTCTCTATTTACAGATTCAAATTACAGATTTTCCAAGTACCATAGAAAAACTTTCATTAGAAGGCTGCAAAATGGAACATTTGCGTAGTAATAAATCATATTTTTTCAAAATGAATTTCCATATGCCTAATTTAACAGTAAGAATCTCACTTTTCAATTGCACGTATTTTCGAAAACTTTTTAGCATTTATGTACTTAATTACTTTTATTATATAGATTTTTATTATAAATGAATAACTATAAGTTACAAAATAACTGCTTACATTAATTGAAAATTGAGAAATTCTTTTACTTACTAATTATTTGATGAATTAATTTTTAAATAACTCTTCACAATCTTCTATTCTAACTATCAGTCTAATCTTCTATCCTAGGTATCAGTATTCTAACAATACAAACACAGGTGTGGATTACATATAATTTTGTGTATTATTTTTGTTATTTTTTCCTGCTTTACATTGTTTGAGCTCTTACTAATTTGTACACAATTTATTATTATTCATTTTATAATATTTGCATATTTTTCAGTGTTTAATTTTAAGTAATTGCGAATGGTTTACTCCACATTCATTGTTGGTCATTAGTAAGATGCCAAAGTTAAAGGAATTAAGGCTAAACTCGTGCCATCGCTTAGGCGAATGCGTTGCTTACACTAGTTTAGCTACAAGATTTGGATTCAAAACATTAGAAGTAAATAATCTTATGTATTGTTATTATTAATGTTTAATAAATCAATAAATTAAATGATTAATTGATTATATATTTCAGATTCTTGATTTGCGAGATACAGCACTTGGTGATAGTGAAGTTGGATGTTTTAGTTGTACTAAAACTTTGACACATCTTTATCTGGAATGTCCTTCCAGTTTAAGAAACACGGAATCGCCCGATTCAGAATCTCGACCTTTGCAGAGAGAACCTTTGAATCAACATCCTGTATATGAAGATAGAAATCTTGCACAAGTAGGTATAATGACAACGTGCAAAAAGTAATAGAATTAAATTACATATATACAATTGTTATAATTTGCATCTTTTTCCGCTTTTAGTTCCTAGTCGAAGATGGATTTCGTTGGGAGAATTATATGTTCGGACGATGCCTAATAACAGACAGAGCAATTTGTGCTCTTGGAAGTGATACTTGTGATCGTATAATCAATAATTTGGCAGAAGAAGTTATAGTTGTAGAAGGAGACAAACGAATATTTAATAATCCTCATTTAAAAACATTGGTTGTTAGGTACTATTAGATTAGAAAACTTCTGATTCAAATTTTAACAGTAATAAATGACAATTTTTTATGCATTCCAGAAATTATCCACATGTTACAAACTCAAGTCTCGTACATTTAGCTTTAAATGCATCGAGTCTCGAACATCTGGATGTAAGTGGCACATCTGTTACAAGACAAGGTGTTGAAACTTTTAAGACACAAAGACCGAACGTTAAAATAGTTACCTCTTTTGATGAAACACACACAAGCATTTGAGAAGTACAGAGTCATTCTGGAGGCTTTGATAACATGATACTTTTATTGTTGTATAAATCTATTTTCCGCAAAAATGAATATAATTATAAGGATTAGGAGTATAAACAATTTTTTATTTTTCATTAATTTCAATAATAAACATAAATTCTATGATGCGGAGCATAGAATAATATCTCAAGTTTATATTTTAATTTTACAACTTCCATGTGTGTTCAATATATTTATTCGCGCATGTGTTACAATTCCATTATATTGTATATAAATATTTGTGTGCAATCTAATATTATTGCATTTTCTATCTTTAATGTAACAAATCGGATACATTGCTTTGCGTTGATGGTAATGAAATTTCATTATCAAATGAAGGCACTATATATGTATGAAGTATTTTAAATACATTATTCAATGAGAGAGAGAGAGAGAGAGAGAGCGAGAGAGAGTTATGTGCCGTACTGATAATGCAAAAGAACAAATGGTAGAAACCAAATAAGTTTTTACTTTAATACATCTTTTTAAATTCATACATCGAGTTTGTTCAATTTAAAAAGATCATATATTTAGGATATTTAAAAACTATTGAGAAAACGATTTTTTATTATAAAGATTATTTATTACAAAAAAATAAATAAAAGTTATAGACTACAGGTATGTGATGGTAATATTTTAAAAAATTATTGATTAAGTAATTCTCGTATGTACATGTGTACAAATTGATTCATTAACAATTATTTATGAACATAATCAAAATTTTGTATATTGGTCATCATTTATGAAACATACATTTCTTGTTATTATTTTATATATGTATGTTGTATTATTTTATATTTGAAATTATGTAAGCATTAGAGCCATATACAAAAAACTGTTGTGTTATTGATTTTTATATCGTACAACATCATTCCATTTCTTTTTCATATTGTTAACGATGTCATTGCACGTAATAAAATTTCTATTTCATCAAATTTATAAATTATTTGTTTTCTTATAAATTATAAAGAACAGTAAAAAAATAAGATATTTATGTATATCTTCAATTGTTATCTGCGTAAAACTGCAGTTTCTGTTTAATATAATAACGCGAATTGTTTTGCATGGACAATTTAAAGTAAAAATAATAGCATTTTTAAAATATTTATTCCAGATTCAAGACAGTACTATGTATAAATATATAAAAAGAGTATGTGTTACATTAACTTTTTTAGGTCATTTACAAATATTGACAAAGATAATGCTATGTCAAATTCATTTTTAAGGAATTTGTTTCTATTTCAAGTAAATGTTATAAGGCACAGGACTTTAAAGGCATTTCTAGAAAAATGTCTAAAGCTTTAAATACACATTTTGATATAGAAAGCTCAACAGAATCTTGTTATTTGAATAATGGCATGCGTCTTATATGTGAACATAAAAAATCTTTCACTACCACCATAGGATGTTTCATTCCAGCTGGTGCAATGTATGAAACACTGGAAGAACGTGGTAGCGCTATATTTCTAGAACATTTATTTTTCAGAGTAAGTAAAAAATATTATAAAATTTATTAAAATTAATATTAAATTCCTACACTTTACACAGAGGACAAAATGCAGTAACAAAGAAGAAATAGAATGCATGATAGAAGAAATTGGTGGAAAAGTTACAGCTCTTGCTATGAGAGATATATTTCTTTTTTATGGAACAGTGCTTTCATGTAAAATAGATAAACTCATTCAGTTATTTGCGAATGTAATTTTGGATGGAGTAATATGTAAGTTAGTAACATATAAGAGGAAGAACTTTATAAAATATATAATAATATGTTATATCTTGATATTTTAGGTGATAAAGATGTTACACAAGAAAAAATTGTAATTTTAGAAAAACTTTCTGAGATGGAATCAGATCGAGAAAAAATTATAATGGATTATTTACCAACTATTGCATATCAGGATACTGCTCTTGGTATTAGTGTATACCCTGCAACTAACATAGTAAAGTAAGTATGAAAATTCAAAAACAATATTTAATTATAAAAGTTATGTAATAGATGTCGTATATATTTTTAATCATTAATCATAATGTTACATTTGCAGAAAATTTTCTACGAAAAATTTAATTAAATTTCGTAATCGTTTATTTCAAACATGTTATATGACGATGGTCTGTACTGGATCTATTTATCTAAAAGAATTACAAAGAATTGTTTGTAAACATTTTGGATGTAATATTGAGGATTATAAATCATCATTTGGAGTTTCTAACAAACAACGATTTTGTAAAGATCCAATTGAATATCGGTTCACAGGTAAAAAAAACTTTACTACTCTCTCTGATTACTTCATTATATTTTTATATAAATATTTCATGTGCAATTTAGCTGCTGAAATGCGATTAAGAGATGATGATAATGAAATGGGATATGCAGTAATAGGATTTGAAGGATCAAGTTATAGAGAACGTGAAGATTGCATTGCCCTTACTGTAGCTAAAGAAATTGTAGGTTCTTGGGACAAGTCAGATGGTAAGTTAATAATCTATATTTAACTATTGTACAGTTTAATATGTAATATTCATAATAATATTTTTAGGTGGAGCAAATCATAATGCACCATTTATTGCCCACTATGCATACAATACAGACTTATGTTATATGTATAAATCCTTTTTTCATCATTGGGCACAGAGTACTAGTATTTGGGGCTGTTATTTCGTTTGTGACTATTCAACTCTTTTGGTATATCCTAAATATTGCGAAAAAAAAGCTTTGTCTTTAACAATTTATATATTTGTAACATTTATATAGTATATGGTTCGTGCATTACAAAAGGAGTGGATGAAATTATGCACAACAATAACCCAGAAAGAAGTATCTCGAGCTGTTCATCAATGCATTACAAAAGATTTACTAATACTAAATGATCCAGTAAATCGTTTCTTTGACATTGCTGAAAACGTGTATAGACATGGATGTTATGAACCTGTTGAACATAGGGTTGTGGAATATGAGGTAGAACACATTGTACTAAATAATTTATATTTTTATTGCAGAATAATATCTTTATATTGCAGAAAGTAACAGCAGATAAAATAAGGGAAGTTTCTCATAAATACATCTATGATCAGAGCCCAGTTGTTATAGCTCTTGGCCGTATTGAAGGTTTTCCCGATTATACTCATGTAAAAAATGGTTTGTATTTACTACGATATTAAGTGATAAAGTAATATACTAATTATCCTTTGAAAAAATATTTATAATTTACAAGTATTTTGTATCATGTGAGTTTCTGGTGACCCAAGCTAGACGTTCCATTTTTGCTAGAAATAAAACCAAAATCACGAAATACCAATTATGATGTATATTTTCAATAATTTTTGTAATTTTGTAACTATTTAAGAAATATAACAAAATTAATGCATGTGCGCATGAATCATTGATGATCCAAACTTGAATTCTAACTTAGATGACGAATTACATAAAATAATATATTAAAGATACAAAAATATACGAAATATCCAAAGAAAATACTTGTTATAATATTTCTCACAAAAAAGTAGAAGTCAAATTTTTGTCAATGTAGAATACACTTATATATTCTACATTGTTTTCTTTTGCTTGCGGTTCTAATAATACAGTTAATAATATGGTTCTAATAATATATCCAAAATCCATCAGTTGATCTTACATCGCACTTTAGATATATAAGTGCACTTTTGCAAAACTAATGATTCTGACTTATATTCTAACGCTCGCCGATCACATATTTATTAGGTGGAATAAAGATCTCTATTTAAGTTTCACTTCTCTGGTTACATTTCTAAAAGTATGACATTCCATAAACATCAATTAATATTTATTTATAGTATTATTTCTCTTTTGTCATAATAAAGCCTATGCGTAATTCGCGATTACATGTGCGTTCTATAATTAGCGTATGAGCATTGACATTTCGAAATATGCTGTTCCAAAAATCACAAATCAATGATGTGTATGTAAATCATTGAAAAATTTTCCTGAATTAATAAATTTTCAATATTTTGTCCATTAATCATATGAAAGAAAACTCAATCATTACATTATTATTTAAAATAATTATACAATAAATTGCAAAAAGAAAACAGCTTTAACGTTAAATTGATTTTCAACGAGAGAAATTTGAATGAAAAAAATTATACCAAACCGTGAGTTTCGAGTAAGGTTATCTTGATAAATTTTATTCTATGACTATGGATGACAGGGTTGAGTAGCGTGAAATGGTGTTGAACGAGTATGCGCGTGATCACGACCGTTAGAAAATTGCGCCATTTTTTAGTTGTAACTAAGATCATTTTCTAACATTTTTTGGTATCATGGTGAAATATTCATGATATCCTGAGAAGTGGGACACGTGTGGTTTAGTGATAGTGTGAATTTTCCAATTGCACGACTGCCCTTGGACAAAACTCGTCACTACGCTTCATAGAAGTAGCTAGCAAAAGCTTCGCGCACGAGGCAACATTTTCTACCGGGTTCATTTGAGAAAAGCCGCTTTTTGACTGTAAACAAAATGTCGGTGGATGCCCTGAGCGATGCGGAATTGCGTAGCAAACTGATGGAGTACGGGTATCCAGTGGGCCCGGTAACACAAACCACTAGAAAGATTCTCTTAAAGAAGCTAAAAAATCTCATGGAAACTCGAGGCGGCACAGGGTCACGACATTCATTGGCTGCCAGGTACTTTTAGTTTATTGTATTCTTGCAATTATTTACCATTTATTATTATTATTTAGTATCTTTGCAATATCTCAATGTTTCTTTAAATCATTTGTTTCATTAAATTTTTCTATTATCTTTGATTTAAATGTCGTAATGTAATAATGTCAGTAAACATGGAATATTTTCAATTTGTAATTACTTTTGTTTACCTTTACTCAATTATTTTTCCAATGAAAGGTTCATGCATTCTTATATAGTTATGCATTATTTGAGATAATGGTTAAGCTTATGAGTTTTATAATAAAATTTTAGGTACAGCAGTGAGGATACAGATGATGACACAAGTACAACGACTAGCAAAAAGAAGAAGACTACAGTGAGTAGTAGAAGGCAAACTTTAGCAAATCCTATGCCACCACCAGCAGTAGCAGCATCCTCAGGTGTAAACATATCAAAAAATCCAGTTAAAGATAAGATAACACATCCTGAATTTAAGGATCCTACAGTGCCAGATTATGATAGTTCTTCGCAATTCACAACTCGTACGATAACAAAAACTACAAAAAAATATATGAAAACTAGTAAGACATCAAGTATAACAGATGGTTTGGAGACTGGTTCAGATTCAGATGTTGTTGAAGAAGTAATTAAACCATATTCCCCATTAATTAAGTCATACTCCCCACCTAAATCATATTCTCCACCTAAATATTTGTCAAGTAGTGGAAAATTTAATGAGCCTAGAACATATGAACATAATGTTTCTGATCAAGATCAAGGTTTAAAACCTTATGATTCAAAATCGAGATCTATTCATACGATAAAAGATAATAAGTATAGTGAACCACTCTTTGATTCTAATATTTCTCCAATACACTCGATCAATGAAGATGTGTGTACGAAATCAGACACAAATCAAAGAGATATTTTGGCAAATTATGAAACACCATTCCTATCAGAATTTACGAGGAGACTTAGTTCAAGGTCTACTAATTTACCATCTTCTTCTTTATCTAGCTTAAAAAGTAAGTCCTTTTAAATTAAAATAATCAGTATACAATATGTATATATTAGAGAGTTTCTAATTCATTATTTTACATATTATTGTTTAGGTCCATCATCGCGTTTTACATCAAATTTACCAGATCTAAAAGAAAAAGATTCAAATGGTCATTTTTCTTCCCTAAGATCGTTATATCCAACATCCAGTTCAAGGTATGTAGATACTTGATGGAATTGATATATTGAGATCAGAATAGAAAACTGTAGGCAAAAATATTATGTATCAATTTATTAATGATTTGTTGTTTAAAATGCTTCTATGAGATATCAAAAAGTCCGAAGTATAATTATATTAATGACTGTTGCCACTTAACGCTTTAATTTACGACCTCGTTATATTGGTTTCATCAACTGTAATTATATTGTAAATACAATTTGTATTAAGCTATATTTATATTATAGAGCTATATAAATATATCTTCTTCAGTTCCAGGCATACAACATCATTCGCCGACAGATCTCGAGATACAGTGAATAGAATGTTTAAACCATCATCTACAAATAGGGAAGATATACGAAATAACCACAATATGGTGTCTGTAATTTTGGTAGTGGTACTTGCTTTATTTTTCGGGATTCTTGCTGTTATATACATGGGACTTGGTGGAAAAGCAGAGACCTTTCCATCACTTTCAACGGGTAGGTATTCAGAATCGTAACAATTAAGTAATACATATGGAGAAATACTTGAAAAGAAATATACAATGCAAATTATATATTTCAACTAACAGCTTGTGGGAAAGTTTTTTAAATAAATTTTATTATTAATAACAAGAATGTTGCAATATACGCGATGTTTTTTATAAATAAAAATTTGTCAATGTATGTGAATAAAATAATTATTAACATTTTAAAGAGTACTATATATAAATTTGTATTGTATAACAATTGCGAGTTCTAAAGACAAGATCTGAACATACAATTCTATTCAAATACATTTCATTAATTTGTTATACAATTTATTCATAATTTCATGAGTATTACAATTAATTCTAATAATTTGTGGATTTTAATCGTTTTACACAAATTTCATCTTTAACATTGAATAATGTATAATCAGTTTCGTAATAGTCTGTTTAAGATATGTATTGTTTTTTTTAACATGTATAATAAAATAATAAGTATTACCAATGTATTAATTTTGATATTTTATTTCCTTTCCCATTATAATGATTTTATCCTATTTCTTTTATATTATTATCATTTGATTAAATTGTTAAAAAAAATCTTCTCTCTTTTAATATGCATGAAATAGATACAAGATATATACGATATCTCTTTTACAAAAATAAAAAGAATATTGTAGAATATATATATTATAATTCTTGATAATTTTGTTTTTAGTCTTATATTTCAATTTGTAGATAGCAACATACCATTATGTTTTGTTGGAGATGACCGTGAAGCGCCTGGAGCTAGCTGTGTAATGAAAGAAAATGTAGATTCTGTATTACAATTGTTGAAGCGACTTCAACCGATTTTAACGAAAAAGGCTGTGTCCATGATATGCGACAATTCCAGTGAAACTCCTTATTTGACCGATTCAGAGATCATGCAAATGTTTACAAATAATAAAGTGGTATGTTGAATTGATTCAAATGGAACATCAAGTATTACATTGTTATATTGTATATACATAAAACAATTTTCTATACAGAGGAGTTTAGAGGTAAAAGAAGATTTGCAAAACGCACAATTACTCGTCATAAAGAATCCTAAATGGGGCATTTCTCTCATAGATATAAGTGACGATAGTGGAAACTCTGGTGATATTTTGGATTCTTTGGTATTGTAAAACAGTTTATCGATCATTCTTTATCTTTCTACTTCCGCGTTTTCTAATGTATATAAATTAAAGAAAAAGGCACCCTTTTATTACAGGATAAATTATTTTCTACTCGTCTAAGTGGGAAAGTCGGAATGGTGATTATGAATCCTGAGTTGCCGATGCAATGTCTTATCAAGAATAAGCTTTTCACCATATTCTCCTCCCTTCTAATTGTGTCACTTGGTAAATTTTTGACCGACTTATTATGGGAAGAAACTTGTTGAAAATATAGCTCTATAAGGTTCTATAATAACGTGATAATGTTATGTTCTAAAGTATTATATTTTGTTACAAGTTTAGTATCTTAATGCTGTAACTACGTCGTATTAGTAAATTTTCTCTTTGTTATTACTAATAATGTTGGTTTTGCAATTCTATTGTGCATGCTACATCACGAAGCTTAATATGCATGTGTGTGATAATGATAGACTGGAAATATATTGTACTTTATATATATTATAGTAATTCAATTATTATATATTATAATAATTCAGTGCTATATATGAGTAATATTACAATATATTCTCAGGCGTCCTAGCAGCTATAGGGATGCAGAAATTATTCGTTTGGTATATAAGGTATAAGAAAAGTACCGAGAGAGAAGTGTTTAAACTTGTTAGTGACATTATTAACATGGTCGAGATGCACCATCAAAATGCGGCAGTTGCATCATCTGGCGGCACTACGCAAGAAAGTTTTCTTGCCATAAATCATGTACGTGATAATCTTATACCCCCAAAAGATCGAAAAAAGATGGCTGGACTTTGGGAAAAAGCAGTTAAATTTTTGGACGAAAATGAATCCAGGTACAAATCTAGTGAAACATTATAAATTTGAATAGTATATTACGGATATTCATATAAATTTATATTTCTATGAATACATCAAATTTCCTATAAATGCATAAAAATCCGTAGTCTCCTTATTATTTTTATTATTTATATTAGTTAACATGCATTTCTATGTTTTAAATAAAACTACATGATTTCAGAATTCGAAGAGAAGTACAACAGGTTTCGGGGGAAGAATTTCATGTGTGGCGTTGGTTACCTAACAACAGTCTTAACAAATCAAATAGCCAGAATTTTGTTCTAAATAAAAAGTCTAAAGTATGGCAAGGTCAAGCATTTGAAACAATGGAAGGTTCTGTCAATAGTTTGACTTGTTCGCCGACACCTTGCTTGAAGATAAGGCATATGTTTGATGCTGATGTGTAAGTATTTTAATAATATTTCTTCATATTTCTCGTATGTATGAAAACATATATTTTTTTAGAGAGTTTGAAGATGATTGGGAAACAAAGGTACAAGATGCTATTTTAGAGAAATGCGGAGAGGGCGTGAAAATTCTTCATATCCGTATAGATCGTGGTAGTCGAGAAGGTTGTGTATACATGAAATGTATGTCACAAGAAGATGCAGGGAAAGCTTATAGGGCTTTACATGGATGTTGGTTTGATGGTAAGTATTTACACAATTTTTTAATATAATGTTTCTTAATATATCTATTATTGTATTGCAAAATATGAGAGGAATATTTATAGGGTCGATTCTAGATATCAAAATGACATAAAATGTTCCTGTACAAAAATGTACAAAAACAATAAATATATTGGTATCAATGAATCAGCTGATCCTTTCTCTTTATCTGACATTAAGATTTTTTATGACACCCTATATATATTTATATCTGTGTGTGTGTATATATTATATTATTTTATATGAATATTATACATATATATAAATATTATCTCTTCCAGGTCATTTAGTAACTGTGAAGTACCTGAGATTGGAGAGATATTACGAAAGATTTCCAGACGCACGTCGTTGTACAACGCCGTTGAAGCCAAGTAATAATCAACGATTATCTATGCAAGCTGATTACTAGTAGAAATGCCATGTGGATGTAAAATGACAAAATACCTCTTTGCTTGTATACATATGAATAACAAGCAGAATTTGAATTTTCGCCGCTGAAATGATTGTTTGCGGACCAGAATTCGTGAGACTTCTATTTTTTGCTCTATAAGAGTATAGAACTTCATACTATCGCGCAGAAATATAGAGTCTGTGAAGAACTCGCAATTGTGTGATAGAATTCTAAGAATCGAATAAGCAAAGACTTTTTTATAAGCATTTTCATTTTGATTTTGTAACGTGTATATTATTATGTTCTATCACCTTTTTTAAGGTAAGAAAGTCGAAAAAGAATACGAGACTCAACGATTATACTATTTATAATACTGCTGTAAAGTAAGTGTGGAGACGTAATTTTCAGCGCTGCATTTTGTAAAAGTTTTTCAAGTAGCAATATACAATGTTGATAATATGTATATCTAAATTTCTGTGCTATGTGATATACTTTCCTTGTGCGTTAAACAAACATTAATTTGTCGCATAATATTTAATCCTCCCTCTGGCAATAGTTTTTCTCCAAATTATTAACGATGCTTGCACCTTATTAACATTCAATGAATTAGAACAATAATACATTATATTCATTCACAACATTAGTTTATAGCTGAACTTGACAGATATGAATTAATTAAATAGCATATACTTTTTATACAAATGATACAGGAAACAACTGATTTTGAATTTTTAAAGAGTTGTTTTCTGTTACTCTTACTAATAAATTTATTTATTTTATTTTAGTAGACGAGTATTGTAAAATACAGTTTATTTTAAATTTTGTAATATTATTTTTAGTACTTTCTTTTACGCACGATATCGCATGACGACGTATATTGCTACTTAAAATAATGAATAAATTAAATTTTTGTATTTTGTGTACTTTCTAACGATTTTTGATATCTATATATGTTTCTTAGAAGTGAAGTCTGTGTACAATATCAGACTTCTTTAAATTATTTACCGTTACATTTTTTTCAGAATAAATAATATCACAGAGATATAAATTTATTTAGTTTTTTAACTAAAAGATTTAATGAAAATAATATACTGTCGAAAATAGTACTACAGTACAAACTAAGGTCAATAGAAATCAATATTTTTTTTTAAATATTCAACATAATTTATCTATTGAAAACATTTCACAAATCTCTTTTTTTAATCATGCATTATATTTTTGACATGTTAAATTTAACAATGTTTGATATATAAAGAAACTTAGTTATATCAACATTTTATAATCTATACAAATCACAATAATACTAATGAGCAAAATATATGTACAACTTTATTCAATTAATGTGATTTTAACAAATGAGATATACAGAATATTTAAAGATAAAACGAAATAAAACAGCACATAAGAAGTAGTATCTTTAATGAGACATCTACAATTCTAAAGTGCACAAAATTCTTAAAAGAAAAATAGTTTTTGATAACTATAATACAACACAATACATTTAATAATAGTTACATTGTAGTAACAATAAACAATTTCTATTCATAATGATTTCAAGATTATCTGATGTGTGTTTATATTTTATATAATTTAATTTCTGTATATTCACTGTGTAATAATAGTATTACCTCTTAGTTATACATACAAGTTGAATAAGTTTTACCTTTAAGAAAAACTTAGCTCGCCTTAAATTTTTATGTATTAAGAGGAATTTAAAAAAATTTTAATAAACATGAAATTCTACATGATACATATATTGATTGTTACATACATTTACATCTTAATATTATAATGTTTATTATTGAAACATTGGATTTATTATATATACATATGTTTGTCAGTACAAATATAAAAAATATGCATATTTTTAATATAAATTTTATTTATTTATATTTAATATTTTAAGGAACAACTATATTCTGTTTACCAAAGTTACAAATCAAGTTCTTTCAACAATTAATGAGTTTTCCGAACTTTCTTCAATTTCATAAGTTTACAATTCATAAGCTGTACTATACTTTCATAATACGATATACATTCTTTCCTTTTAGCAATTTGCCTTGTAATCTTGCTATTAACAAATCTTTCTTATCTAATGTTTCATTTGATTGTACAGATGTTTTGTTATCTTTACTAGAGATATACGTGTTTGGCTGTTCTTGTTTAATATCTATATCTGTTATACATTCCTTTATAACAAAATTTATTTGGAGCTCATTATCCATATTTCGGTATCTTTTTAAAAATTTCAATGTTTTCTAGTGGAAGAAATTATACCAATAAAATTTTCAGTTAAAAATATTATTCAATAGTCTAAAAATTAAAGTCTACTGTTGTACAACTAAAATTACTTATATGTTTGAACAAAAATAATTTATGAATATTTCTACCAATATACCATTTACTTCAGTATTCAGTGTATTGAACATGGGAAGATCTTCATATTTATTTTCATATATTGTAATCCCCTTTTGCATCGATTGTTTCAAACTTACTCCTTTTAAATAAATATAAATACTTGTAAATAAAATAAATAAAATGTAAATAAATAAATAAAAATACTTCATGATGTATTCTTTGCATCCAAACATGACATCACATATTATTTGATTAAGGAAGAAAAACAAGATAATAATATCACTAATTTTTTATATGAAAAGGAAGAATTGTTTCATTTGTTAGATTTGTAATAAAGTAATGTGTGGTGAAAACTAATAGTGAGAAATATAGCGTAATACATATATATGTATACAACAAATATATATCATACATAATGAATTTACTTACAAGAATTTAAAATGTTTACGTATGTTAAGATTTACTCAAAATATTTATTGGTTCCGAGAAATAACCAAAGAACTACATTTTATTTCTTAAACAAAAGTATCGTATATTTTTACAATGTTTAGCTAATTTTTTCACTTTCAATTTTTGAATGTGATACATATTTCATGCTTTACGTATAATGCAAAATAAGACGCGAAACTAAAATCACGCACAAAATGAATTAATACTGAGACCATCTTCTCCAGTAACATAGTCGGCTATTTCACAGTCAAAAATTTAGCTTTAAGTTTTGACCACGAAAAAGGTAGATCATAGATTGTTTCCTCTTAAAATGTTATTCGAGAATTTTGTTAAAAATTTATAATAATTACTATTTATAAATGAAGAAGTAACGAACGATATCATATCCAAGAATAGTTATTTTATAAAAAGATATATTATACGTGAAAAAAATATTTGACAGCATTAAATTATTTTTTTATCATAGCACAATAGTTATTTTTATATTAAACTAAAAAACATTTCATATTTCTCAATTTGATAGTTTGCATGTAAAATTGCAATTTTGCATAATAAAGGATATTTCGAAAAATTTGAAATACGCCACCTGCAGGGTGAATTGGAATAAATGGTTAGAATAAAACACTATATATATGTTTATCTATATATTTTACTTATTCAAGAACACAACAGACATGCTTTCTCAACGCTTCAGTCCTTTCCGGTTATACTGTAGCGTGTGCGAGGTAATGAAATCTTGGTTAGAAAACATTTTTCACGAAATCCGAAACAATCTAGCAATGCAATCAATGTTGTGACATATTATACGTGTTATTCGATATCGTTTGTCATGTTTGTGCAAGGCTAAGTAATATTTTTGGAAAATGATCGTTTTGATCACAATTGCATATAACCCTACTTTTCAGTTTTCCTAAACATATCTGCTTTATTAGCAAAACTTTCCTGTAAATATGTTATGATATACTTATGCATTTAAATTAATTAAGTTTAGTATTGTAATTTTAAAAATGGAGATAGTCATATATTATTTTTTATCTATATAATATTTAAGTCTTTTGACAATTTGACTTGATGTTCCAATACATAAGCTACAAATTTTGTATATATTATAAAACAAATACTAGGAAGTATAAATATCAATAATAAAGCATATGTATTATATGTATTTGATTCTGTTTTTGCTTTTATATTATCTTACCCAGCAAAATATGGAATGCATTAAATTGAAGTGAACATTATACATACTTTCCACGTTACATGGAAATGAAACTTGCCTACTTAAATTGTAGTAAACGTTATTCTGTGGTTAAAAATTATGTTGAATAAAAGTTTTGTTTAAAGTTTTTAAACATGTTAGAAAGTTTTATGTATTGTAGTTATATATTTATGCATTTCAGGATGAAGCAAATTGTGACCAATCAGACAGTAAAAATACCTGAGGGACTGACTGTTACAGTCAAGTCCCGCTTGGTTACTGTAAAAGGACCAAGGGGTGTTCTTAAACGTTCTTTTAAACACCTTGCACTTGACATTCGTGTAAGTAAAGAGACCTAACTAGTTTAAATAATTGGTAATACAAAAATATTTAAACTTAGATTATATCTGATGATATTTTTGGATTCCCCTTCATTTCTTTAATAAATGATATATCTGTATCTGATGAACACAGTATATTAAATAAGTTATAATATAACTTAGAACTGTTATTCAGTATATTATTTCTTTTGCAGATGGTAAGTCCAAGGTTACTGAAAGTTGAAAAATGGTTTGGAACAAAAAAGGAACTAGCTGCTGTCCGTACAGTCTGTTCTCACATTGAAAACATGCTAAAGGGAGTGACTAAAGGATACCAATACAAAATGAGAGCTGTATATGCTCATTTCCCCATTAACTGTGTTATTACAGAGAATAATACTGTCATTGAAATCCGTAACTTCCTGGGTGAAAAATATATTCGTCGTGTAAAGATGGCACCTGGAGTGACTGTTGCGAATTCAGCTAAACAGAAAGACGAATTAATAATAGAAGGAAATTCTTTAGAAGATGTTTCCCGATCTGGTAAATAGCCATTTGAGTTAATACATTTATACAGGAAGAAATCCTTGTTATGAGAAAATTATAATTAATGATTATTTTTATTTCAGCTGCTCTTATACAACAATCAACGACAGTAAAGAACAAGGACATTAGGAAGTTCTTGGATGGTCTTTATGTGTCAGAAAAAACAACAGTTGTACAAGATGATGAATAAACGTTATTCACAATGTGAATGAAGTTTTTATTAATATGTATTTTGTTAATGACCTTTTGTTCATAGAATAAACATACTATTTTTTATGGAATATAGAAATTTTGTTAATGCGCTGTAATAAAGTTATATTTTTCATAATAAAATATATTTGCAGACCGACTGTAGACAAGATTAAAAAGTATTTACAGGATATTTCGTGTATATTTTGTGTAATTAGATATATGTTTGAGAAAATAGTATGTAGATAGATATGTAAAGCAATAATTTTAAGTAATTAAGGAGAGGGAAGCTAATGGCACGTAGGTAAGCTTGGTAAAAATTCTAAGGTTAGGAAGTCAATGACCATTCTGAATCAAATCTCATTGTGATAGTGTAGTATAGCATCCTGATAATAGAGGTCTATTAATGGTTATTTGATTGTATACATACATATTAAATTTGACATCATAATGAATGATATAACAATTTAATATACAATATAGCGATTAAGTAATGCAATCATTTATAAAAAAATATTAGATAAATCTCTTTGGATATTATTGTCGTAATGATCTATATAACAAATAATTTTAGATAGAAGCTAAAGATGATAGTCATTGATAAATAGAGTATAATTTATCAATTCTTAAATATGAAGATATCAAAATTTATGATAAAATATGTCTTTCAATTATTACTATCTTCGAATACCATTGTAATTAAAAAAAAGCACATTGCAATGATACTTTTTAATCAAGAAATTATCTTTGTATTTTTCTTTGATGAGATTATTTAAAATCTATTCTTTGTGACGTAAGAAAACTTTATACTGATGGTACATTACTTTGTCCCTTTTTTCTTACAGTGTCAGAGTAATTAATAAACGATTATATACTCGTAAATATTATATTTTCTGACAATTAAGAGAAAGTTTGTCTTTTCCATTTTCTAATTATAGTTATTCGAATGAAACGAAATAGTTTCCTCATACATACCAATTTTTTATGTAATCTCCTAAATTTCTAGAAATTGATGATAAACCTACTTTATATGTTAAGACTCGGATACTAACGTTCTTAGATCATTTACATATAACCGATTTGAGTTATATTTAAAAAGTAAATTCATATACATATATCTCTGTTATTGTTAAATCCAAAAATTAATTTATTTAATATTTATATATGGTAGGACTCTTTACCCTTTAACAAACAAATCAAAAGAATCATGAAAATGACATTTAGTGAAGATATTACGTAAATCTTATACACCAAATATTATTATCTCACACTACTGTTGTACTATACTGCTATTAGTAATATGGAGATTAAAGAAAGTCGTGCATTGAATATCTTTTTCAAGGAAACCATCGAGAAGGTTGAAAATAGCGGGAAATTAGGTAATCGAAAAAAATTATCGGAGATATTATTATGTTCATGAAAATTATGTTCATACATTATAATCTTTTAATATTTTCGATATAATAACAGAAATTGTAACTATATTACAATTATATAAATAATTAATTGTAAAATATGTGAGAAATAATAGAAATTTTTGTTGTATATCTGATCTTGTATATTTGATGGTGAATGCTAAAATTTCAATTGTGAGACAAAAATTTGCACGATCTGAATTGGTAATATAACGGAAACATCATGCACGGTCTCTCAATGGTTGTGTGATCTGAAATCTTTTTGAATAAATGATCAAAACAGTAATTATACGATTATTTTTTAGAAAGTTATTATTATGCGAATACTAGACATGCCATATTCTAAATTCCTTTTCAGGAATAGTCAACAAAAAATTATAATTTAAAAATGTTAAATACAATTGTTGATCAATTTATAAATATTTATGAAATCCTTGATGTTTTTAATAATCAATAATTTCTTGTTTGACATAATTTTGAATTTGTTTGAAACAAATGTCTACGTTAGTCGAAACTTTGAAGTGTTTATGGATAATAAATAGGTGGTTCAAAAGAAATGTATACACATTTTTGTGTATGTATGAATGCGCGCGTTTATTCTTGACGTCATTTTAATTTATGTTTTTAAAATTATATAATTCAATATAAGTAAGAAATAGTTAATGTAAGTAACTAATCAGTAAAAAAGTTAGTGAAATTAAACTTTATTTTTTAAATATTAATTTCAATGGACTTATCAATATATCTATTGTATCCATACAATCTTAAATTCATTAAATCCATTGTATAATTACTATTTACATTAAAGTTAGAGTGTTTTATAGGTAGCATACACACTATTGACAAAGAAAATCATAAAAAAATAAACGAAAGTTTATTATAAACAACTATTCTATTGTCTATATTATTGTCAATATTATTGAGTAATTATATATTTGTAGTATGATAATGCAAGTTTATAATATAAATTCCGTTGTTTACTAGGTTTTATATTATAGATTTTATACTATAGTCATTGTATTAATTTATGTGAGAAAGAAGCAGAAGAAAACAGTTAAAACATCATGATCTCGTAAAAGTGGCATTATGATAAAATTATACAAATTAAAACATTTAATCCTATTAATTAATATATAAGAATGGATATTACCTCATGATTTGATCATAGATACAAAGAACAAAAAATTTATATTAATTGTGAAATACGTTTATAGAAAATATATTTCTGGCATGTATAATATAAATAAAAAAATAATAAACAATAATAAAAAATTAATAAAATTTTCTCTGTCTCATAGAAAATGTTGAGCATTTCACGATCAAATTTTAGGGGCAGTGAATAGACAATTTGTATTAGTTTCACAGATTATTTAATTTTAATAGACATCTATATATGTCTTCTTTATAGTCTTCTACAGTATAGTTTTCTTTACATTTGTCGATTCTTCAATGAGGTTACAAGACATCCGATTACATATCTTTCCTTACAAACTACATCAACTGTCATTTCTTTACGTTGACTTAAACTACCTTATTCTATATACATTTACAATATACAAACTATACTCTCTCCGCTTTTTACAGCTATATATTTTATTTCATATATATATAAATTTACTTTTAATTAATAAATAAATAATAGAAAAACTTGGCTATTAAAAATTTTTAATAAAATGAATAAATAATTTATACTAAATAATCAATAATTGATTAAAACGCAAATATTCATCTTCGTTTTCTATAAAACAAAGCGCTGGTAAAAAACAAGTATTGAGTAAACGAACATAAAGTACCTACTTGAGAATCGTTGCGTGAAATAGAAAAAGAGAGGGGGCGTGATAGACTCCTGATCGGCGGGCGAATATGTAGAGGGGAATAAAAACATGATAGGGGAAGGCAGTAAAGGGAGAACATGAGAGTCGATCAGCGGCATTCGGCGGTAGTAAGCAGTAAGCAAGCAGTACGCGCTTGCATTTTCATGTATGTGCTCTACGCTGTTGTAACGAATGTCCTATAATGGTTTTGTCTCTGACACATTTGTTTCGGTTCTTATAGTCATAAGTTTGTGTTATACCCGTCTTCTTAAACGCACGTGTTTCAAGCTGACCACCAAATTACACGTGAAATGAAACTGGTGTACTAAAGTTACTCAGTGAAAGCTGACAAGCAAGAAATTCGTGTATCTTTCATACTCTCATTCCTGTAAGTGCATATCTTTATTTTATTATCAGTTTTGTAAAGCATTTCTTATAAGATGACAATATATGATTTGAACCTGATAAAGCATGTCTTATATTGTTTTTCTCATTTAATCGATTATCACAGTTAACATGTTTGTTATGTATCTGATTTCTATTTTCTACAATACTGTATATTAACAAGCAATGTTCATACAATACCTGTATTTACATTGTGAAATATGAATTATTATGAAATACTTTTTATAATTTTGGAATTTTTATAGTTCACGTGCCATATTTAAGCCGATGTCATACATAATCTACAAATTAATAATCTTGTGGCGTACAAAAATTTCCAGATAAATTTTCAACTTTGTATTCTTAAAGTGAAATCTAGATGAATTTGAAATAATATCGATATTGTTATTATTTGTTATTATCATTCTTATGTTAGACTTTCGCCTATTACAAGTTTAGATAAAAAGCGAATTATAAATATAAGTAAAAAGTATTAATATTATAAAAGTATACTATGAGTATAAAAGTATAATATTATAAAAATAAATATATAAGTAACATTAAAATAATATTGGTAAAAGAGTATGATAAGTAAAAGAAAACAGTGTAATACATAAACAGTGCTACATAATTGTAAATTATTACTTAAAATTATTAAAATAGCGTGTTGGAGATATAAAATGAAAAATTTATCTGACCAGAAACTTTTATAAGAATGTGCGTTATGTAAAGTTAGTGTTATTTGCATATTACTGGAACTTGAAAAAGTTAATAACTCGTTGACGATCATAATGGTTATGTTTCATGTTTTACTAAACTTTTTACAATAAAATGATAAGTAGCACGGACTAAAATATGTTCAACGGTATGAATGGCTTGGATAACATTGTCAGAGAAAAAGTGCGCAAATACAATATACAGTCAACTTTCGTATAACGCAGTATCATAGCATACTATGCTGCATAACGTACCGTATATACCGTATATATATATATGTATGTATGTATAGAAGAAACATGTATATTTCAGAATACCGTATTATAAAAGGGTTAAATGTAATATTTTGCAAAAATTAAATGTTATTTATCTATCAATGTATGTATGGTATGTTGATAGTAGTGTATTTCTATTGCAGCACCCAGGACAAAGTACAATATATAATTCATAGTGTCAGTGCCAATGTGTTAATTAGAAAAGTAATATGAACATTTTTTTTTTTAGAAATATGCTGTTGTCTATATGACTCACGATTCATTATGAAAAATTTGTTTGAAAACATGTTTACTAAAAGAGATCTTTTTCTAAGATCTTCAATTTTTTTGTACTTCATTTAATTACGAGTAGTGTGAGGAGAAGGTGTGATTGAAATTTATTTGGAAAGTGAAATATCAAGAAACATTTGACTCATTTGGAGTTCTGTCTTTGTTATGTATATACTTTTTGTATCTTGTTTGATTAATGGAAGAAGTGAGAAAGATTGACAATTATCTGGAAAGTAAAGGGAGCATTTATAAATATTTATTATATATATAAGGATATATTTGATTCATTTGACGTTTTATTTTTGCTATACATGTATGTTATTCATATCATTTATATTCTTCAATATTGTATTTTGTTTAAGAAAATGTTTATAAATATTTATTAGATAGGATAAGAGATATAAGGAAATACTTATTTGGTTTATTTGAAGGCAAAGACGATTGTATATCATGAGTTGAGATTCGGAACTTTCACTGTAAAATCTTATATAATAGTAGGTACTCAATTTGATAGTTCTTTCTCTTCCTCATAAGTACATACATATTCTTGTTTATTGTAAGAAAAGAAGCTATTATACAAGTTAGTAAATTTGAAAACTATTCATTTACGAAATTAATTCAGTATTTTCATCAGTTAAGAAAATTGTTTTTATAGCTATATTAAATTGCTAGAAATATGCAGAAATATTGATATAGTTAAATACTGTTCAAAGCGAAACAAGCTATTCATCAGAGGCTCGTAGAAGGTAAAGTGAGTCAAACTCTTCCTGACTTGTCGGTTTTGTCCTACTTCTTCGCACCTTTCGAGGAAGTTAGAAATTGCACGAAATCGTCTCGATCTCAGATTTCGAACGACGAAACTACATCCAGCGCGTGCAGTGATCGACATATTCATTTTTGTCGTCATAGAAACTTTTCTTATACTAGTATACTTATACTTACTTGAAATTTAAAAATTCCTTAATTTACATAGTCCATAAAATATAAGAGTATTGAATACAAGAATATGGAATAAAAAAATATAATTCCCATTTTAACCGTGGACTTCACTTTTTAAGACAGATGCAAGGTAAAATAAATATTAGCATGACATGTTCCTCTCGAAAGCGAACATTTGTTTTAAATATTTTTTGTATCGTCCATAGTTTTCGAAATATTTATATGTTGCCAAATAAAACGGATATATTGTATGTACAGCTTCAATAAACCAAAACGTATTCATGCAAAGAACGACAAAGTAAAATTTGAAATATAATATTTATTGAAGAAATAGAAAAAAAATCCAAATTGAAAATCAAGTCAAACACGGTATTACAATCCAAATCAATGTAAGTATTCAAATCAAATCTGGTATTTCTTAAAGTTGAAAAAAAAAGAATAAAACCGACTTCTAAAGGAAACGAGAAGGGACTGAAGGCACTTAAAAATGGAAAATAATTTTTTCTTAAATATGTATATGAATTTAAATCTTTTGCAGTTGGCGCCAAATTCAACGTAAATAAATTATATAAATTTTCAATTACACGACGATCTATTTAATGGAATGTAATATTCTTAAAAGTTGTCGACTATTTTTAAATGTTCTTGAAAGATCTCGCTCTGAAGCATGGAAAAATAATTAAAATATGAAAGAATCCTAAGAACAAAGAATTATGCACAGAATACTCATATTTATCCATACATTTGGACGCACAGCCAGTCGTACTTGTTAATAGAAGTCAAAACTTCTCTAGTGAAAATTGTATAACTACATGAAAGAACGTACATGTACTTTCATCGAGAATAAACATTTTCTTTGTTGATATATGTATTAAGTATCGACATTTAACATGTAACTTCGTACGAAGTTAATTTGTCTGCTTTAAATTTAGCAACGACGGCAAGAAATTGAAATTTGCATATTTTAGAAAGGATTATTCTTCTCTTCCTAGTTGGTCTTCTCCCTTCTATTTCTTTAAAGCCTGCTTTCTTATTGTATTTAACATTTTTGAGTTTCTTAGCTTAATGTTTATGAACATATGGATTGGCTTTTAAAAAGCCCTTCATTAAGGGACCACAGGGGAAGCATACTCTATCGAGTGAAAAATCTCTTTTCTCTTTTATCCCTTTGAGGGAAAAATTAAACAAAAAATCGTTAAAATACTTCTACGGATTTTTAAAGGACAACTGTGTCAAAAAGAAATATTGCAACTTAACAAGAACGGTTATATTATTCATGTTTAATTTTAAATTCGCTCCTTTAGAGATTGAGTATGATAATATCCTGAATTATGTCCTACACACTTGTTTGGGTATCGTTTCTAAATTAAACCTAAGCTGAAATCTAACCCGGTCTAAGAGATATCAAAGAATTCATTAATATACAGGGTGGTTGGTAACTGGTGGTACAAGCGGAAAGGGGGTGATTCTACGCGAAAAAAGAAGTCGAAAATATACAACACAAATTTAAAAAAAATTTTTTTTTTTAATTTTTTTAAAAATCTACAGTGAGATCCGTTATAAGTGCACGCGTACCGAGCGAAAATTCAAAGTCGATTTTCTCGAAAACAAAGCCTCGAACGAAAAATTTTTATTCTATATTTTCGACTTCTTTTTTCGCATAGAATCACTCCCTTTTCGATTTAATATTGCTTACTTTTTAAAATAATTGGCCAAACTTCTTTGTAAATTAACTTACATTTTTAGTTTAGTAATTTTTTGAAATGAAGTTAACCTCACCTTTTATCTACAGAATGTTAAAAGATATAGGCGATATTAATAAAATGTGATTCTAATAAAATTGTTTCGTAACTTGAGAAATAAATCTTAAATGAAAATTTTCTACGTTAACCTTCCTTCATTATCCTGATGTTTAGGAGAATAAAGAAATAGGTACCAAAGAATTTTTTTTTATTTGCATGAATTTTACAATCAATTCTCATTGAGAATTATAAGTAAATGTTTCTGGCGTATTACTATGGCGTGGTACTATGTCGTGTTTAATAAGTGTTCATCGTGTGTTTCATTCTAGTTGAATCTAGTGCTTAAATCTAAAGGGTAATGTTTACCCTGCGGATCTGATCCGTCGTGTCAAGTAATTGAGTAACTAGCAGGGTTTTTGTGGTTGTTAACTTATTACTGAATTTGGATGTTTCTTCTTTGACTGTGGGAGGTACCAAAGAATAGCAAATCTTTAAGTTACAATGTAACTTCGTTCGAGTCGATTTCTTCTAAGTAGATTTCGTATTTTTATGCAATTTCATATTTCTGCGAATAAAATTAAAGAAATGGAACCTACATAAAAATTTCTTTCATCCATTAACGATTATAAAAGTACTTTGCTTTCAATATTTTATATATTTTTGTATACTTATTCGTATATACAATTTGCGGATTTTTAAACCTTTAAATTTATTACAAATGCATAAAAATCCGCGCTCTTTTTAAAAACATTTTAAACAAGTCAGGTGATTGTTGAATCACGTATCAAAGTCGAAATTAATTAAAGAATATGTATTGATATTTATATGCCATAGCAATTTGCGTAAAATGACCGATTGAACTTTGTGCGTAGTGCACGCATGCTGTTACGATGTTATTAATCACTCGGTATTATCAGTGAAGAAGCATTTATAAGTGGCATACAATCTAAATGAATTCTGGAAAATCATATATTTTTCGTAATTGTCAAGCTTTATCGTGTCGATGACGTTTCCTACAAGAATATGTTGCAGAGATAAAATAATGGAAGTATGAAGTTTAT